GAAGAGCTGGCTTACACGCCTTCATAAGTGTGTGTTCCCACTCAATACAAACATGAGTGGGGCTAAAGGAGTTTCCCCACTGGATAGATTTCTCTGTTTTTCTGGTGGATCTGGTAAGACACTGCAATTCTTCCCAAGAGGAGAGGATGCTGGTATAATGACTCAATTTTTTCTTTCTTTCCTTCTTTTCTATATCATCTCAATTGTTGTTGTTGTTGTTTTTTTAATCCTCACCCGAGGACATTTTTCCATTTTTTGTTCAGATAGAGTGGGAGGGAGAGAGAGGCAGAGAGAGAGAGAGAAACATCGATGTGAAGGGACACATCGAGTGGCTGCCACCCGCACGACCAACCAGGGCCGGGGACAAACTGCATCCGAGGTACGTGCCCTTAGCGGAAACCGAACCCGGGTCTCTCTGTACCGCAGGCCGACGCTCCAACCGCTGAGCCAAACCAGCCAGGGCTCAATTTTTTTTTTTTTTAAATATGTCTTTATTGATTTTTTTTAGAGAGAGAGGAAGGGAGAGAAAGACAGAAACATCAATGTGTGAGAGTAACATCGATCGGCTGCTTCCTGCACGCCCCACACTGAGGATGGAAACCAAAACCCAGGTATGTGCCCTGACCAGGAATCCAGCCAGACTCCCGGTCCATGGGACGATGCTCAATCCACTGAGCCACACTGGCTGGGCCTCAATTGTTTTTTCATACCTGATTCAGTGGTCACATAACCAGGGCTACAAATGCAAGTGCCTGAAACAGCAATGATTCCTAAATAATAGTTGCAACTATATTTTAAACCTTATGTCAGAATTCCCAGGGGCTGATGGAGCAAGATGTGCCTTCACCCCATCTGCCAAAATTGGTGTTAACAGTGAATTCAGCTGTATGCCTAATGGTAAAAAAAAAAAAAAAAAAAGCCCACAAGGTCTGCACCTGTGTAACCTCACTTTTGTAAACAGGAGTGGACTGAGGGGAAGGCACTTGCTAGACTAGTGTTGCTGCCTGCAATCTAGACCCGCACAAGGGCCAAACCTAATGTCTCCTCCAATGGTGTAAAAGTTTGGGTATAAATGAGGAGAAATAGCAGCTAAGGGAAAGGTTATGAATAAATATTTATGTAATGAGGGGCCAATATTGACACCTTGAAAGAGGCTCAGAGCAAGAGATGATATAATCTCTTTGCACAGTTTTATCAGATACCTTAAAGGGTGAACCCATGTTTGCTGAGACTACTTCTGCTTGTGGAACCTCTGCTTTTGCAAGATTGAGTGGAAGCCTGCCAACCTGAGACCTGAGTGGCCTCATTCTGGGGGACATTTTCATATTATATGATGATAGACTGATATGAATATTAATGACTGTGGAATTCTGGTAATGTGCCAGCATTCTTTTTATTTATTTTTTCTTTATTGATTTTAGAAAGAGAGGAAGGGAGAGAGATAGAAACATTGAAGAGAGGGAACATTGATAGGCCCCTCCTGCATGCTCCCCACTGAGGATTTGGCCCACAACCTGGGCATGTGCCCTGACTTGGAATTAAACTGGCGACCTCTTGCTACACGGGTCAACACTCAACCACTGAGCCACACTGGCTGGGCAAGTGTGCCAGTATCTTTTGAGTCATATATCATTTTGCTGTAAGTGTTCTGTGGCCAGAGGCCAAGGGGTGGGCAGTGAAAAAATAGAGAATATATGTATTGGTCTCTGCTTCTTGTTCCTGGCACAGAGCTCCTAAAACCCTTGTAATTTACTAAGTGATAAGAGCACTAAGAGCATCTTTTGTTCTAATATTTGGTCTCTACCCCCAGTTCCTGCCAGGGATCCTAATCCCTTGGAATTTCCTGGGTAATAGAGGAGTGTCTTTTGTTCTAGTGAAGTGGACTTTGAGTGGGCTCCTGATATCTCCTGAATGGGGGCTAATCACCCAAAAGACTATGATTGGCATCTTGGAACTTTGAGCCCCACAACCTATGTTCCAGGGAGGGGAGAGGGGCTGGAGATTGAGTTAATCATTGGTTATGTCTATGTGATGAGCCATGATAAAAATTCCCAAAGTATGGGGTTCAGAGAGCTTCAGGGTTGGTGAACACATTTACATGTCGGGGGGGTGTCGCACCCCAACTCCACATGGACAGAAGCTCTTGTGCTTGGGACCCTTCCAGGTTTCACCAATGTAGCTGATTTTTTATCTGTATCCTTTATTATATTTTCCTGAGTTCTGTGAGCTGTTCTACCAAATAATGAGTGTTGTGGTCATGGGAACCTACGACCTGTTGTCAAGTCAGCAGAAATTGTGGATAAACTGGGTCCCACTATCTGCAATTGGCATCTGGAGTGGGGCAGTCTTCTGGGACTGAGTCCTTACTTAACCTGTGGGGTCTGTGCTAACTCTGGTTAGTGTTGGAATTGACTTTCAGGACACCCAGCTGGTGTCACAGAGAATTACTTGGTGTGGGAGGGAACCCCACACATCTGCTGTCAGAAGCGTTCTAAGTGTGGTAGTAGTGAGAGAGTAGAGGGGAAACACCCAGGAGGAGTGTGGGATATATAACAGGCTGAACGGTGTCCCCTCACCCCCACCCCAGGACCTCAGAATGTGACTGTATTTGAAGACAGATCCTTTACAGAGGTGGTTAAGGCAAAATGAGGCCATTAGGATGGGTCATTACCTGACTGACTGGTGTCTGTTTTTCTTTTCTTTCTTTTTAAAACAAAATACTGTATATTTTTATTTATTCTTTTAGAGAGAGAGAGAGAGGAAGGGAGAGAGAGAGAGAGAGAAACATCAATGTGAGAGAGATACATCAATTGGCTGTCTCCTGCCAGGACCTGGGCACATGCCCTGACTGAGAATTGAACTGGGACCTCTCAGTCCACTAAACCACACCGGCCGGGCTGGTGTCTGTTTTTCTGTATGTGTGTGTGTTTTTAAATCTTTTTATTTATTATTATTAATAAATAAATAGCAGAAATCGAACCCGGGACTCTCTCGTCCGCAGGACGACACTCCAACCACTGAGCCAAACTGGCCAGGGCTGGTAAATCTTGAATGGTGTCTTTTTTTATTTTATTTTATTTTTTTTATCCTCACCCGAGGACTTTTTCCCATTTTTTGTACAGATAGAGTGGGAGGGAGAGAGAGAGAGGGAAACATCGATGTGAAAGGGACACATCGAGTGGCTGCCACCCGCACGACCAACCAGGGCCGGGGACAAACTGCAACCGAGGTACGTGCCCTTAGCGGGAACCGAACCCGGGTCTCTCCAGACCGCAGGCGGACGCTCCAACCGCTGAGCCAAACCGGCCAGGGCTTGAATGGTGTCTTTTTAAAGAAGAGGACATGTGGACACACACAGAGGCACCTGGGCTACATGGGCACAGAGGAAAGACCATGTGAGGACACAGGGAGAGGGCAGCCACCTGCAAGCTGAGGAGAGAGGCTTTGAATCCCTTTTTAATTTTTAAATTAATTAATTAATTATTTTTTAGAGAGAGAGGAAGGGAGAGGGATAGAGAGATAGAAACGTCGATGAGATAGAAACATCTATTGACTGCCTCCTGCACAGCCCCTACTGGGAATCCAGCCGGACACCTGGGTATGTGCCCTGACTGGGAATTGAACCTGTGACTTCTTGGTGAGGAGAGAGGCTTTGAAATAGTATGAGAAACCAACCTTGCCTGCTCCTTGATCTTGGACCTTCAGAACTGTGAGAAAATAATTTCGGTTGTTTACGTTATCCAGTCTGCAGTAGTTTGTTATGGCAGCCCAGAGGGCTCGTGCAGGATCTCGGGTGTTCTAGTTTGCATCTCTAGCTCGCTATCCTGCTTGCTCTTTATTGTCTGAAACACAGCTGGGGTCCCATGGCTGCCCTACGCCGGAGACAGAGCTGTACCACTCACACCAATCTCTCGCCAGGAAGGTGCCCCAAAGTTCCTCCTGATAACTTCTCCAGCTGCCTGGCCTCCTAGCCCTGGGGTCCCCCGGCAGCATGGCGAGGGTGAGGCGCGAGGCTCTATGGGTCCCTAAATCTCTTCCTCTGGGATCTGCAGCCCCTGCGCTCCTGGCACGCAGCAGGAGCTCGCACTCTTGCGTGGATGTTACCACATTATAAATAATGTCTACCTGTGGAGAAGGGGCACAGTCCCGGGCAGCTCCTGGGTCTGGGATTCAGAGATGCCGGGACCGCGGCGTGGGGAGGCTGAGACCCGCGCAGCTCAAGTGGTTGGGGAATGAACGCGGGACCACAGGCGCCGCCCGGGCACACGGTGGGCGCGGGCAGAGGTGGGTAGCGTCCTGCCCTCCTGCGTCGGGAGCTCCCCCGCGCTTCGCCGGCCTCCCGGTGCAGGGTGTCTGGGAAGCGTGGCTGGGGACGGGGTGGGGACAGAAGATTCGGAGCCGCACCTCCCCCGGCCCGTTCCCGTCTGGGAAAGCAGAAGTGAGTCCTACCCCGGGAGTCCCACCGGAGTCAGGATCTGGGAAGAGAAACTGGCGGCCGCAGCCGGGGCTCCTCGTCCCCGCCCCAAGCTCGAAGGAGGCTCACTGGTCTGGGCCGGGACGGGGCCACCACCCGGCCTGCCCCTTTTCGCTGGAGGTCTCAAAATTGGGCCATTTTCCGGACGCGCTGTCACCGTTTATTGGGGTGTGCCCGCCCCGCCCGCCCGGAGGGAGGGGCGGCCCGTGCGGTGCGGCACCGCGACAGGACCCGCCAGGACCCCGGAGGCCGTCGCAGCCGACCCGGAGTCCGGACTTCTTCCTCTTCCGTTGTTCTCTCAGCCCTCCCGAGACCTCAGCGACCCTGGACCCTCCGGGGGACGACGCGTACTCCTACTTTGTGCTGCCCAGAGCCCCGGACCCCTGTGTGGCCCCCAGTCCTCTTACCACCCCTCCTACCCTGCACCAGGTGCCCCACCCTAGCCTCTCCGGGCTCCTCCCCCAGGTCCCCAGGCAGCTCTGGTCAGGCCCCTCGAGCCCCACGGTTGCCCAGGAAGGAGCACGCTATGCTCCGGCTCCTGGTGCTGCTGCTCCAGCTGCTGCGGCTGCCAGCGCTCGCCCAGGAGCCCGAGCCCGCGGCGCAGGACGTGAGCCTTGGCGTGGTGAGTGCGGTGGCTCCCAGGTCCTGGGATTTGCAGGGGGGATGGCGAGAAGGAAGCCGGTGCCGGACACCTGGGTCAGGCTGACGGCTGATTCAAATGTCCAAAGAGTGAGTGACTGGTGATGGGGTCTGAGGACCCGGATTCTTGTATCTGTCAGGTTCGGGACCCGAATTTGAAGATTTGGACTGGGACTAGGGTGGGGAAGTGGGGACCAGGACTCCTGAGTCTAGATGAAGACTGGCAAACCCTGGGCGGGAGGGCCAGGACCTTGAGAGGGGAGCAGGCTGGTTCCTGGGGCTGGAAGCCTTGAGGTCTTGACTGGCGAGAGGTGGGGCTTTCAAGGTGGCGGTGGGAAAGCAGAGTCCCATTCCTCCTGCCCTTCCCACTTCACCTGTTCACTTCTATGGTCCAGGACTGGCTCACCCGCTATGGCTACCTGCCACCACCCCACCCAGCCCAGGCCCAGCTGCAGAGCCCTGCAAAGCTTCGGGATGCCATCAAGATGATGCAGAGGTTCGCTGGGCTGCCTGAGACTGGCCTCCTGGGTAGGTGGCCCCAGCCCCTTTCCAAACCCGCCTCTGACCTAGCCTGACCACAGTAAGAAACCACGGGAGGGCTTGAAGGAGGAAGGCAACTTGGTTTGTTTTGCAGTTTTACATTCATTTTCTTGTGTTGCTTATGGAAAATGGTGGGTGGGGAAACATAGAGGCCAAGAAGGAGGTAATGCAGTGTCCAGGCAAGGGATGGTGGTGGCCTGGACTAGTGTGGAAGGTGTGATGAGAAGTGATGAATCCAGGGTGCACATTTTGGAGGTAGAGCTGAGAGGCTCATTTGTTGGGTTAAATGGGGAAGAGAGAGAACTGGTGGGTTCCTGGCTAGTTATGAGGGAAGGCAGGGTCTTTCCCTGTCCTGTTTACTGCCCAGCAGTGTTTGGCATCTACATGTACTCAGTTACACTTTGTGACCTCAACCATCGAGGTGAGGTTTGATCTTCCCTTGGAGATGAGACTTCTGGGAATTAAGCCCAGTTGGAAAAGGGGATTCCAGGCAGCTCTAACCCAGGGAGGGGTGGATAGCCACAGAAAACCAGAGACCCAGCTGGCCTGGGGACTTTAGACTTTCTTTAGACATGATGGGGTCTTGGGAGCTATGAGATGGATTGCAGGCAACCTCCCAGGGGTTTCCAGCCTCAGTGAAAGGAGTTTTCACTGCACCCCCAGGGCTCTGTTCTTGAGTCCAACTGTTAGGGCTTAGGGAAGCAGGACCTCAAGATCCCTGTCTGAGTCTCTGAGTACCACCTGGAGGCAGCCAGTCCCTCCAGGGCCAGGTGCAGAGGGTGACACTGCTCAGGTTAGTGTCATGGATTCAAATCCAAGTGAGGCAAGTTTCTTCACTTCTCTGAACCTGTTTCCCCTGTAGAAAGTTAGCTGGTACCATGATTAGGGTAGGTTGTCCTGCTGATCCCGCTCCCCCAACCTCTCCCACAGACCCAGTGACAATGGCCACCATGCATAAGCCCCGCTGCTCTCTGCCCGATGTGCTGGGAGTGGCTGGGCTGGTTAGGCGGCGCCGCCGCTATGCTCTGAGTGGCAGTGTTTGGAAGAAGCGAACCCTGACATGGAGGTAAGTCCTGGTGCCTACCCCATCCTGGGCCTGCCTGTTGGGCCCTAGTCTCTGTCTCTCAGGCTACCTTTACTTCCACTCCTCTTTCCACAGGATACACTCCTTCCCCCAGAGCTCTGCTTTGAATCAGGAGACTGTGCGGACTCTCATGCACCATGCCTTGACCACCTGGGGTATTGAGTCAGGCCTCAAATTCCAGGAGGTGGGTTCTCAGGGCACAACAGAGCCTGACATTCTCATCGACTTTGCCCGGGCCTACCATCAGGACAGTTACCCCTTCGACGGGCAGGGGGGGACCCTAGCCCACGCCTTCTTTCCCGGTGAACATTCAATTTCTGGAGACACTCACTTCGATGATGAGGAAATCTGGACTTTTGGGTCAAAAGGTACTATGTCCCTTCTTCTAACAGACTTCTCCCCAGGTCTGTCTATCCTTAAGAATTAAGTTTAAATTACATTTATTAATGAAGGCTATATCAGTTGCGCTTCTCCAGAGAAACAGAACCAACAGTGGGTGTGTGTGTGTGTGTGTGTGTGTGTGTGTGTGTGAAGTAATTTATTTTAAGGACTTGGCTCATGGAATTTGGGATTGGCAAATCCAAAATCTGTTAGGCAGGCCCACAGGCTGGAAGTTCAGATGAAAATTGATGTTGCAGTCTTGAGTCCAAAATCTGTAAGGCAAGCCAACTGGCTAGAAACCCAGGCAGGATTTCTATGTTGCAGTCTTGAGACAAAATTCTTTCTCTGAGAAACCTCAGTTTTTGCTCTTAAACCCCTCAACTGATTAGATGAGGCCCACCCACAGTATGGCGAGTAATCTGTTTTACTTACAATCAACTGATTGTAGATGTTAATTACATCTACAAAATAACCTCCAAAACAAAATCTAGGCTGATATTTGACCAAGCAACTGGGCACCATAGTCTGGCCAAGGTGACATAGAAAATTACCCATCACAGAGGCCTGTCAGGTGCCCAGCTCTGAGCTGGGGCTGAGAACTTAAAAAGGCAAAAAAAAAAAAAAACCAAAAAAAAAAAAAAAACCAACAAACCCAGCTCTGTCCAGTAGCTGAGTCAGAAGAGCAATTGGCAGTTGCTACACATGATGACACAACCAGAGGGAATCACAACGGGGAAGTCCTTGAACCTGTGGGTGCTCAGAGGAAGGGCTGATCTGAAGCTTTTGGCTGAAGGGGGCTTCCTGGAGGCAGTGACCCTGTTCATTTTACACACACACAAACACACACACACACACACACACACTGAGTGCCAGCTAGCACACAGAATCCCGGTCTCCTGGAGTATACAGAGAGGGGATGAGGTACACTATCAAAGTGCAAGCCAGTGAACTAGCTGAGTGCACAGCAAAATAGAGACAGGGAAGCAGGAAATTGCTACAGGGTCAATATGAGAGATGGTGGTGGGTGATGGGGGGTGGTGAATGGAGGGCAGTGGGCAGCTCTCAAGGAAGTTTGGTCAGGATGGGCAAAGATTAGGGTCTAACTGGATCCTGGGGGTGAAGGTATAGGCGGGTGGAGTGCTTGCCCCTGGAGGCCAGAGTCCTGTTAATGCAGGTGGGAAGCATGCACGGAGATGGAGCAGGCTGGGGGAAGGCGAGTTCCGGTGGGGGAGTGTGTTTGCGGTGCTTTCGGGAACTCGGTGCGGCTGGTGCATCGGTGGTTCAGTATGTTGCTCTAAAGAGCGTGGACTCCTCTGACTTAGGTCAGTTCCCTAGAATTGAAGCTAACGATGGAAATTCGTATGCAAGCAGTTTCTCAGGGGCACGTTCTCAAGGGAAAGGGAAGCAGGAGAAGACGGGGGAAGAAGCTGAGCAAAGATGTGGTCTCAGCTCCAGAGGAGCCTGACCCTGCCAGGAGCTCTGGAGCACAAATGGTGCCGCAGGATTGATCCTGCTTGGAGGCGAGGTGCCCAGCTCTCCTAGTTCCATATCAGTCAGCCATTGTGACCTGCCTAGTAGAGGTGCCTGGGAGAGAGAGCCATTTGGGGGGAAGGAGGCAGCCAGGACATGGGCACACAGGCTCAGAGAGCATTAAGGCCAGGTGCAGCTATCATCCACAATAGTGAGACTGTGTAACACAGCATTTCAGAATGAAAGCTTGCAGCCAGTGTGGCTCAGTGGATTGAGCATCGTCCCCTGGACCAAGAGGTCCCGGTTCAATTCCTCATCAGGGCATGCCTGGGTTGCAGGCTTGATCCCCAGTGGGGAGCATGCAGGAGGCAGCTAATCGATGTTTCGCTCTCACATTGATGTTTCTTTCTTTCTTTTTTTTATCCTCACCTGAGGACATTTTTGCATTTTTTGTTCAGACAGAGCGGGAGGGAGAGAGAGGAAGAGAGAGAGAAACATCGACGTAAAGGGACACATCGAGTGGCTGCCACCCGCACGACCAAACTGCAACCGAGGTACGTGCCCTTAGCGGGAATCGAACCCGGGTCTCTCTGTACCGCAGGCCGACGCTCTAACCCCTGAGCCAAACCGGCCAGGGCACATTGATGTTTCTGTCTCTCCCTTCCTCTGTCTCTAAAAAAAATCAATAAAAAACATAGTTTTACAAAAAGAATGAAAGCTTGCCCTGGCTGGCGTGGCTCAGCTAGTTGGGGATCATCCTGTGCACTGAAAGGTTGTGGGTTTGATTTCTGGTCAGGGCACATGACCGAGTTTTTTATTGTTGTTGTTTTTTATCCTCACCTGAGGACATTTTCTGTATTTATCTTCAGAGAGAGTGGGAGGGAGAGAGGGGGAAAGAGAGAGAAACATCAATGTGAGAGAGACACATTGACTGGTTGCCACCCACACGACCCCAACTGGGGTGGGGACAAAATGCAAATAAGGTCCTTAGCCTTAGCGGAACTGAACCTGGGACTCTGGTCTGCAGGCCGACACTCTAACCACAGAGCCAAATGGGCCAGGGCCATGACCAGATTTTGAGCTTGATTCCCAGTAGGGGGCGTGCAGGGGACAGCTGATCAGTGTCTCTCCTGTCCTCTCTCTAAAAGAAAAGCAGACCTCAAGGCTGGCATCCTCTGCTTGCTATGTACATAAGTTACTTGACTTCCGTGTGCTCAGTTTTTGCATCTGAGAAATGGGGATAATATTACCTGCTGGTAGTGTGGACTTAAGGATTAAATGAGTAATTCACCTCCAGCTCTGCACAGTGCCTAGCACAGAGTAGTGCCCTGTTCATTGCCAGCTGCAATCAGAGCTGGGCCTGGTGGCAGAGCTAAGAGTCAGAGGTAGTGGGAGGTTGATTAAGGAGGAGAGTGTGGAATGTGAAGGTCAAATACAGAGCTGTGGAGAGCCCCATAGTAAAGGGGAAGGTGTCAGGGGAGGAGGAATCAAAGAAATAGAAAAAGAACAGGCCATAAGATGACTAATAAGAGTGAAAGAGAAAGTGGTCAGCAGTGGTTAGCATGGCAAACCAGACTCATAAATTACATAGGCTTGGATTTGATCATCTGGGATTGAAGTGACCTTAGTGCCTGTAGGCTTGGTGGGTGGGGGTAGAATCCAGACCCTAATGAGGCTAGGCATGAGAGGAACTGAGGAAGTGGACTGAATTTAGACCACTGACCAAAGGCCTTGCTGGGGAAGGAGAGGGCTGTGGATGGGGGGCAGAGAGGTCCAGGAATTGTCTTAGGATGAGGCTGTCTTGACCACTCAGGGATGCTGGATGAGTTAATAGAGTTAGCAGATGGATGGATGGCCACATGGGTGGATGAACAGGCAGATGGATGGATGGAAGCATGGATGGGTGCAGGAATGGACGAATGGGTGGGGTGTTGTTCTTGTCCTAGAAGAGGTGAGCGAGACAGGGTCCTTGAACAGGGCAGGGAGGAAGTGAGCATGGGGGAGATGAAGTTCTGGGTGCACAGGAAGTTACAGATTACATAGAATGACCTGTCTTGATGAAACAGGAAATGCATTTGTCATCCAAGAGTTGGGGGCTGGACCTGGGTGGCAATTTGAGGGGCTGTGGGCCTGGAATTGAGGGTGAGTGCAGAGAGCAAAGGAGCTTCCTGCTGAGGCCCAGGGCAATGATGAGAGGAGGTGTTGAGGATCCCCATAGACTAATCTCGTGAGGCTGGGTCTACACAGTGGGATAATTTCCCCCAGCTGAATAGCATGAGAAGGGTGCAAGGAAGGGGTGTGGCCAAAGAAGAAGCAAGGCAGGGAGGGGGTGGTGGTGAGAGATGAAAGAGATCTGCCTGACTAAGACACCATACTTCCTCCAGTTTCTCAGAAAAAGGACTCAAAGCAATAGATTTTATTAATACATCTGAGTGTGATCAAGACCATCTGGTCACTGCTGAAAGCAGGCTGGCATAGCCAGAGTACTCAGCTTTAGTTTCATCTCTGTCATTAACTTGACCTCTCTGTGCGCCAGTTTCCTGGCCTGTAAAATGGGCTTGGAGGTAGAGGCTTTGTCAGAAGTGAATGAGGACAAGTGTTTGTTTGTTTGTTTTAATCCTCACTCGAGGACATTTTTCCATTTCTTGTTCAGATCGAGTGGGAGAGAGAGAGAGAGAGAGAGAGAGAGAGAGAAACATCGACGTGAAAGAGACACATCGAGTGGCTGCCACCCACACGACCAACCAGGGCCAGGGACAAACTGCAACCGAGGTACGTGCCCTTAGCGGGAACTGAACCCAGGTCTCTCTGGACCGCAGGCCAACGCTCTAACCGCTGAGCCAAACCGGCCAGGGCGAGGACAAGTATTTGTTACTCTTCTCATCACTTATGCATTTCACTCTTGCGCTCTCATCTAGTGGCCTTTAGTGGCTGAGAGAAAGTTGCTTCTCAGTTCACCAAGTCACTTCCAATAAATCCACTTTCAACACTGCTAACCCTAGCTAGGGGTTTCCGTGAAGTAGATCAACATCTGAGGAGATCGATGCCTCCTGGGGCTGCTGGCCCTCTTGCTGTCTCTGTCTCTTTTGACCTCTCACCTGCTAAGCAGGAGCCAGCGGGCAGCTTGTAGATGGACGAGGAGCTGGGATTTGGCCAGAAACTGGGAGCATGAAGAGGCTTGTTTCTGGAGCCTGGGCTGGGTCCCCAAGGAAGAGGACTGTGTGCTCAGAGCGGCTGGGAGCGAGGGGGGGTGCCCAGGCCAGCAGACTGTGGTCAGAGAGTGCGCGCTGAGGCTTTGAGTTCTGAGGAGATGGATGAAGGCTGCAGTGGTGGGGAGGAGAGGCCGGGACCCCAGGGATGTGGGAGTGGTGGAGGCTGTGGGAGAGAGAGATGGGGGAGGGAGCTAGAGATAGAGAGGATGTGGGCAGATTGAAGGAGAGGGGAGGAGGGAAGGACCATGGGGGTGGAGGTGGGGTTCCGAAGATCTTGGGACCAGAGGCCAAGGGGACTGAGCAACATTACTCATGAGAGGGAGAGGGAAGTGTGAGGAGGGGTGGGGACCTCTGATCACAGGCTGGAGCTAGGAGGGGGGAAACTCCAAGGGCTGGGGCTTCCTTAAGAGAACTGTATGCACCCCCAAGCTCCTGCCTCCCCTCCCCCATGTTTCTGTATATAGTCTTCCCTTCCTGAGGGCAAGGCCTGCATCTGTGTAAGCTGGTCCTTCCTCTGTCCAGATTGTCTCCTCCTGCCCTTCCCCTAACCTGTTCTATGGACCTTTCAGCCTGGTATCCCACTGCCAAACAAAAACATCTGCCAAATAAGTGAACTCATACAGGAAGGATGAAATGGCTCAGGGAGGCTTTTGGGCAGAGGAGGCTGTGGCCACCTCTGGAGGGTCTCCTGGCTGTTACTGTCCACCAGCAAGCCCCGCTCCTAGGGGCCTCCTTGCTGCCTCTTTCCTGGCTGCCACAGCTCTAGCCCCTTCTCCTTTCCTCCCCAGATGGTGAGGGGACTGACCTGTTTGCTGTGGCTGTTCACGAATTTGGCCATGCCCTGGGTCTGGGCCACTCCTCTGCACCTGACTCCATCATGAGGCCCTTTTACCAGGGCCCTGTCGGGCATCCCACCAAATACCGCCTGTCGCAGGATGACCGTGAAGGCCTGCAGCAGCTCTATGGTACAGGGAGTTGTGTGTGTAGGGGGGTGCTTGTCATGTGGCCTCTGCTGCAAGGTCAGGGAACCCACACCTCTCTGACTCTCTCTACAGGGAAACCGCCCCAAACCCCATATGATGAGCCCACAAGGAAACCCCTGGCTCCTCCTCCCCCACCCCCTGCCCTGCCCCCAGACAGGTGAGTCCTCCAGCTTTGTGATCTTGGGTGAGCACCCTACCCTTGGTGTGTCCTCCTGGGAGGCGAGATGGGCATGGTCGGAGTTGCTGCCCACAGTACTGTCCTCAAGGTGAAGTAAAGCGAGAGGAGCCCTGACCCCTTTTTTCTCGCCTCTTCTTTTCTACTCAGCCCCTCCCTCCCTGACCGCTGTGATGGCAATTTTGATGCCATCGCCAACATCCGTGGGGAAACCTTCTTCTTTAAAGGTGAGTCACTTTGCCCTGGCCAGTTTGGCTCAGCGGTTGGAGCATCGGCCTGCGCGGACCGGAGAGGCCTGGGTTCGGTTCCCGATAAGGGCACCTACCTCAGTTGCAGTTTGTCCCCGGCCTTGATTGGGGTCCTGAGGGTGGTGACTGGTCGTTGTGTCTCTCTCACATCCATGTTTCTCTCTCTCTCTCTCTCTTCCCCCTCTCTCCCTCCTGCTCTATCTGAAGATAAATGCAAAAATGTCCTCAGGTGAGGATAATAAATAAATAAACAAATAAATAAATAAATGTGAGTCACTTTGCCCTGGTCAGTTTGGTTCAGTGGTGAGAGGGTCTAACGAGTCGCGGGTTGATTCGGGTCAAGGGCACGTACTTGGGCTGCAATTTGGTTCCTGGCCTTGGTCACGTCATTCGGGAGGTGACCAATCAATGTCTCTCTCTCACATCGATGTTTCTATATCTCTCTCCCTTCCTCTCTTTTTTTTTTTTTTTGCATTTATCTTCAGATAGAGCAGGAGGGAGAGAGAGAGGAACATTGACATGAGAGAGACACATCAAGTGGTTGCCACCCACACAACTCCAACTGGGGCAGCGACAAACTGCAACCGAGGTAAGTCCCCATAGCGGAAACCGAACCAGGGACTCTGCGATCCACGGGCTGACGCTCTAACTGCTGAACCAAACCGTCCAGGGCTCTTCCTCTCTATCTTAAAAAAAATCAATGAAAACATTTTTAAAAAATCCTCACCTGAAGATTTTTTCCATTTATCATCAGACAGAGTGGGAGGGAGAGAGAGACAGAGAGAAACATCGATGTGATAGAGCCTCATCAACTGGCTGCCTCCCGCAGGACCTGACCAGGGCTGGGAGGAACCGCAACTGAGGTATGTGCCCTTGACTGGAGTCAAACCCACGACTCATTGGTCCGCAGGCAATGCTCTTACCACTGCACCAAACCGGCCAGGGCGATAAAAACATAATTTAAAAAATCAATGGAAAAATACCCTCAAGTGAGGATTAACTAAGTAAGTAAGTAAGTAAATACATACATACATACATACATACATACATACATAAAGGTAGGTCACTTCGAATCTCCCCTGACCCCAGAGTTGGCTTCCTACTCACTTAGGGTGACCCACCAGGCCTGAAAAGAATGCTGGATTTTCCAACTGGGGTGTGGGAGTGGCTCTCTCTAGCCCTGCCTTTCCCCATCCCCTTTCTTTCCCCAGCGCACACTGTTTCTCTGAAGATCGCCCCAACCTTTCCCCCTCTCCTTCCCTCAGGGGGCTATATTCTTGCTTTCTTTCTCCTTAGTTCCAAGGGCCCCTTCTTTTGCCTCTGTAACTTGCTTCCTGAGCCCATGAAGGTCAGCTGGCTCACTTCTTCTACCTGTGTAACTTTCTAAATAAACTTTTGCTTGTAACTGGGAGGAAAAAACAAAACACAAAAAACAAATTGGGGGTGGCGGACAGAAAGTCCGGGGCCAGCTGGTCACCCTAGAGCCACTGGAAACTGATTTCCAGATGGACCTTCCACCCAGCACTACGTCCCAGGCACACACTCCAGTGGATAAGACCTTTTGCCATCTCATGCTCCATGCCCACCCCTTCTTCCCCCACAGGCCCCTGGTTCTGGCGCCTCCAACCCTCAGGACAGCTGGTGTCCTCCAAGCCTGCCCGGCTCCACCGTTTCTGGGAGGGGCTTCCCCTCAAGGTGAATGTCATCCAGGCTGCCTACGCCCGGCACCGAGACGGCCGAATCCTCCTCTTCAGTGGTGAGTGAGGCCCGAGCGGGGTTGGGCGTGGGGCGTGGGGCGTGGGGCGTGGGGCGTGGGGCGTGGAGCAGTTGCTCACTCAGCCGCCTCCCTGCAGGCCCACAGTTCTGGGTGTTCCGGGACCGGCAGCTAGAGGGCAATGCGCGGCCGCTGACGGAGCTGGGGCTGCCGCCAGGGGAGGAGGTGGACGCCGTGTTCTCGTGGCCACTGAATGGGAAGACCTACCTGATCCGGGGCCAGCGCTACTGGCGGTACGACGAGGCGGCGGCGAGCCCGGACCCTGGCTACCCACGAGACTTGAGTCTCTGGGAGGGGGCGCCTCACTCCCCCGACGATGTCACCGTCAGCAACACAGGTAGGAGAGCCGGTGAGGAAGGTCTGAGTCCCGGGAGTGCAAGCCACTGACCCTGTGGGTTGGGGCTAGAGGTCATCCTGGGGGGTTCCGGGGAGCACCCGGGGGGGGGGCGGGGCTTGGGGTAGCCTGGACCAGCCCTGCAGCGTGTCTGCCCTCCCCGCAGGTGACACCTACTTCTGCAAGGGCGCCCACTACTGGCGCTTTCCCAAGGGCAGCGTCAAGGCCGAGCCGGACTCCCCCCAACCCATGGGCCCCCAGTGGCTGGACTGCCCGGCTCCCAGAGCTGGCCCTCGCCCCCCCAGGCCCCCCAAAGCAACTCTCAAGCCCGGAACCTGCGATTGCCAGTGCGAGATCAACCAGGCGGCGGGGAGGTTGTGGACTCCCCTCCTGCTGCCCCTTCTGCCCCTCCTGGTGGAGACCATCATCTCCCACTGAGTTGGGACCGCACAACACTGAGGGGGCCGGGTGCCCACCTCGAGCCTGTAGGGGCGGGCTCAGCTTGGATTGGGCTGGGCCAGGGTGGGTGGAGCTAAACCCTGGGGATGGGAGGACAAAGGCTGTCCACCTGGGCCTTTGTCCCCTGGGACCCAACAGAGGAAGCGCTCAGCTTCCCTTACTTGGAAACCGCACCCAACTTTGAGTTGCCTCCGCAGGACTGTCCTTTTCCCGGAATAGCTGGCTTTTCTCAGAGCACAGCTGACTGACTCCCTGTAGCCCAAGCTCTGCCTGGCATCAGCGGCTCACAGCTGTTGGGGTCTTTAGAAGACAGGCGTGATTGAGAGACTGAACCCCAGCCCCTTCCCCCCCCTTCCAGAAGTTTCTCACACTGTCCAGCTTCCACCAGGTTCCAGTCAACACCACATGGGTGGGGAACTGAGACCCAGTCCTGAGACCACCCCTGGGCACTAGTGCTGCACATCCTGGGTGACACCAGTGGCCACAAGGGTGACCTTCCACAATCTGGCCCCTGGACCTTCTTGCTGGTCACCACCCTGGACCCAGAATTGTTCTATTCAATAGGACACCTATTTTTAGAAACCTCTTTCTGCCTCCACACTGGGATGTCTACAGTTCCCTCAAGAACTCCTTGGTGCCTTGGCCGGTTTGGCTTAGCGGTTAGAGTGTCGGCCTGCAGTCCAGAGAGACCCGGGTTCAGTTCCTGCTAAGGACATGTACCTCGGTTGCAGTTTGTCCCCGGCCCTTGTTGGATCATGTGGGTGGTGACCACTCGATGTGTCCCTTTCACGTCAACGTTTCTCTCTCTCTCTCTCTCTCCCTCCCACTCTATTTGATCAAAAAATGAAAATATGTCCTCGGGTAAGGATAAAAAAAAAACAAAAACAAAAAGAACTCCTTGGCCTCTGTATGCTCAATGCGATGGAAAGACAGAGGACTGAGAACTTACTTAATCCAGGGTCTCTGCTTCCTCAGCACTCCTGGGTGATGAGTGGGTGAAACCTGGGCCATCTCTTTCACTCCCCACTCTCCACAGAATTCAGGATCTAAATCAGTGCCTCTGGAACTGTGCTTCTGGAATATTCCATATCAGAATCACCCAGGGAACTTAAAAATGCAGATCTCATGCCCTGACCCTGAATCTTCAGTTGGGGTGGGGCCAGGAGTCTGCATTTGAACCAGCTAGGGTGGTCTGGGGTGACCTGATGACAAAGGGGGCTGGGCCCATTGTTGTAGACCAACAAGACAGACCAGACTCAGACTCCGAACTGGGTTCAATTTAAGAGAGCTTTATTAGCCACGCTCCACTGTCCCATCCTACGCAGAGGAGGGAGCAGCCCCGAGCTCAGGGGGTGGGTTGCTAATATAGTTGTCTTAGCCCCTGTTAAGGAATTTGGGCTAAGGGTTTACGAGCAGGCAAGCACGTACAGAAGCAGATATTTGCAGTTAGCTGTTATGCCTGAGGGAGCAAGCAGTTTCGGTGTACACAAAGCAATGGTTATCTATACAACGCAGTGGTTATCTATTAGCAGCTAGTTCTTGCCATTCTCTTAAAATCCAGGGGGTAAGGTCTGCCTAATGGGAAAAAATTTTACTGTACATTCACATAGCGTGTGTTTGTCCTTCACACCATCTCTGTCTTGTGGCTTTTCTGTGTTTCTGCCATGTTCTCCTAGGAGCCAATCTCTGCATGTCTCTTACAGAGCCAAGCTGATGGCTTTGGTTGAGAGGGGTCACCCCCATGGTTGGAGTCACTCAGTGGCCTCTTCTTGGGTTGCTATCCAGCCTCATGGCTCCACAGTGCTACCTGGAGCTGAGATCGTGGGCTGCAGTCCCAGTGAGCAGAGAGTGCCTACGGTTGGTCACAGCAAGCAGACCACTATGAAGGCAACAGCCAGGCGTGTCTTCAACCAGTCCATGATCTGAGAATTCTAAGCCACCAGAAAACCATTTGGGTATCTGTCAGGATCCTTTCAAAGTATGAAGAGGGAGGAAAGTTGTATTTTAAAAGCTTAGCAGCCCTACCCACGAGGACAATAAAAATGACTGGAGAGAAAGCCCTTCTTTTCTTCTGAACGAGGATTCACCTTTGGTGGTGGGAGCTTGACAGACCTGAATCACCCTGGAGTTGGAATCGAGTTAATGGGATGTAGGGTTGGGGATGGAAGGAGAATGAGTGGGAAGAGGAAGCAGAGAGAGAAACTCAAAAGTTGGTTATGTAGGGAGAGCCCAGGGGAGTGTCCATTGTAAAACTGGAGGCTGCTTTCAGTGCTATATGGACATTTCTTCCTCTGCACTTTGGAATTTATTAGGCCCGCGGACCAGAGAGTCCTGGGTTCGGTTCTCGCTAGGGGCACCAAAATAAATAAATAAATAATACATAATTTATTAGGTCTACTACACAAAAATGCTAGGTCAAATGGATTCATAGTATCTTTTAAATGGTACAATCTCATAATCAACATTTAAAACATTTGTTCTTCAAAGGACGTCATCAAAATGTAAAAAGACAACCCACAGAATGGGCAAAGGACTTGCAAATGATATCTCTGATAAGAAACTCATATCCAGAATCTAGAAACTACTCTTACAACTTAATAATAAAAAGACAACCCAATTATAAAATGGGCGAAGGATACCATATACATTTCCTTTTTTTCTTTTTTATCCTCACCCGAGGACATTTTCACATTTATCTTCAGATAGAGTGGGAGAGAAGGGGGAAGAGAGAGAGAGAAACATCCATGTGAGAGAGACACATCAAATGGTTGCCACCCACACGACCCCAACCGGGGCTGGGGACAAACTGCAACAGAGGTACGTGCCCCTGGTGGGAACTGAACCCAGGACTCTCCGATCTGCAGGCTGATGCTCTAACCGCTGAGCAAAACTGGCCAGGGCCATATTCACACCCATAGAATGCCTAGAATAAAAAAGACATAATAGTAAGTGTTGGTGAGGATGTGAAGAAGTTGAACTTTCATACACTGCTGCTGGGAGTGTAAAATAGTACAGCCATATTGGAAAAGAGTGTAGTGGTACTTCAAAAAGTTAAAAACATAGTCACCACATGACAGCGATTCCACACCTAGGTATATACTCAAGAGAAAAACATGTCCACATGGATATTTGTTTTTGTTTTGTTTTTTTCCCTCACCTGAGGATATTTTTCCATTTTTTGTACAGATAGAGTAGGAGGGAGGAAGGGAGAGAGAGAGAGAGAGAGAGAGAGAGAGAGAGAGAGAGAGAGAGATGTGAAGGGACACATCGAGTGGCTGCCACCCGCACGACCAACCAGGGCCGGGGACAAACTGCAACCGAAGTACGTGCCCTTAGCGGGAACCGAACCCGGGTCTCTCCGGATCGCAGGCCGACGCTCTAACTGCTGAGCCAAACTGGCAAGAGCTCCACATGGATATTTGTACATGAATGTTCATAGCAGTGTCATTCATATTTGCCAAGAGGTGGAAATGACCCAAATAGATGAATGGATAAACAAAACACAGTCAATCCATACAGTGAAATATTATTGAGCCATAAAAAGGAATGAAGCAATAACACATGCTGCAACCTAGATGAACCTTGAAAATATTACAGAGTGAAAGAATTCAGACACAGAAAGGTAACATATTGTATGATTCCACTTACATAAAATATCCAGAATAGGCAAATATATAGAGACAAAAAATAGATTAGTAATTGCCTAGGTCTGGTGAGGAAAGGGATATGGGGATTTGGGGGTGATGGCTACAGGGTGCAGAATTTCTTTTTGAGGATGAAAATTCTCTGAAATTAATTGTGATGGTTGAACAGTTCTGGGCATTGAACTGTACTGTCGGTGGATTTTATCTCACTAATGCTACTAAAAAGTAGTACTGCTATGGCCGGTTTGGCTCAGCATTCAGAGTGTCAGCCTACAGACCAAAGGGTCTCAGGTTCGATTCCCAGTCAAGGGCACATATCCGGGTGGCAGGTTTGATCCCTGCCCAGTTGAGGCACAGGCAGGAGGCAACCAATAAATGTGTCTCTCTCACATTGATGTTTCCCTCCCTCACATCCTCCCTCCCTTCCACTCTTGCTAAAAACCAATGGAAAAAATATCCTTGGGTAAGGATTAACAACAATAACAAAAAAGTGGTAAAGTGGCCTGATCAGTGTGGCTCAGTGGTTGAGCTTCATCCCATGCACCAAGAGGTTGCCAGTTTGATTCCAGGTCAGGGCACATGCCCGGTTGCAGGCTCAATCCCTGGTAGGGTGTGTGCAGGAAGCAGCCAATCATTGTATCTCTCTCATCGATGTTTCCATCTCTTCATCCCTCTCCCTTTTTCTTTTTTTTTTTTTTTTATCCTCACCCGAGGACATTTTTCCATTTTTTGTTCAGACAGAGTGGGAGGGAGAGAGAGGAAGAGAGAGGGAGAGAGAAACATCGATGTGAAGGGACACATCGAGTGGTTGCCACCCGCACAACCAACCAGGGCCGGGGACAAACTGCAACCGAGGTACGTGCCCTTAGCGGGAACCGAACCCAGGTCTCTCTGTACCGCAGGCCGACGCTCTAACCGCTGAGCCAAACCGGCTAGGGCCCCCTCCCCCTTTTTCTTTAAAAAAATCAACCCCGGCCTGTTTGGATCAGCGGTTGGAGCATCGGCCTGCGGACCGGAGGGTCCTGGGTTCAGTTCCCGCTAGGGGCATATATAAATAAATCAAAGAAAACATTTTTTTTGTTTGTTTGTTAATTCCCACCTGAGGATATTTTTCCCATTGATTTTTAGTGAGAGTAGAATGGAGAGAGGGGAAGAGAGAAAAACATTGATGCGAGAGAGACACATTGATTGGTTGCCTCCTGTACATGCCTTGACCAGGGCAGGGATTGAACTCAAAACCCAGGTATGTGTCCTTGACCAGGAATCGAACCTTCAATTCTTTGGTGTTAGGACCGATGCTTTATCCACTGAGCCACACAGGCCAGGGCAATAAAAACATTTTTAGAAAGGGAAACAGTGCACAATAAAACAGAAAATGTCTTCAGGCTGGCCGGTGTGACTCAGTTGCTGAGCATCGACCCATGCACCAAGAGGTCACCAAGAGGTCGCCAGTTCAATTTCTGGTCAGGGCACATGCCTGGGTTGTGGGCCAAATCTTCAGTCGGGGGGCATGCAGGAGGCGACCAATCGATGTTCTCTTTCATGGATGTTCCTATCTCTCTTCCTCTCCATTCCCCTCTCTCTCTAAAAAGTCAATAAAGAAAAAAAAAATGTCTTCAAATGGTGGTCTTTGTGAGACAGTCACGGAGGAGCTGAGTGTCATGGGGGGTCAGTGGGAAGTTAGGAGACAGACACGTATGGGGGAGAATGCCATGTGAACAGGAAGACAGCCATCTACCAGCCTAGCATTGAGGCCTGGCACAGATCCTTCCCTCACAGCCCTCAGAAGGAACCAACTCTGCCAACAGCTTGATTTAGATTCCTAGCTTCCAGAACTGTGGGAAAAGAAATGTGTGTTATTTAGCCACCCAGTCTGCGGTGCTGTGTTCTGGCAGCCCTGGTGATGTGGTGCAGAGAACCGGGAGACCACCGGAGCCAAATAGAGAGCAAAGCCGACCGGCGACTGATCCCGAGTTCTCAGAGACCAGCCCTGGGGCCTCCAAACGTTGTGGCGCCACAGAGTCAAAGAAAGACCACTGGAGAATTGAAGTTCACATAAGAGCCGTTTATTAGCCGGCCGGCGTCTGATTCCGAACACCCCGTGACAGAGTCTTCGGATTCAGCCCCGATAGGCTTTATTACATGCCTTTTATGCCTTTCGGCAAATAGGATCTTCTTGATACAATGCCCAGGGCCACAGCGATGCTGTATAGAACTAGTTTGCCTTACAGATAACAGGCACACCCAGGCACACCCAGGCACACCCAGGTATTTCAGGTATTTCAAGGTACATTGAGTCACACTTAGCCCCGAGCTGCACAAACGCAATACAAGCCTAATTCCTTGAGATTGTGGGGAAGGTCGAGTCTCTGACTCAAGGCCTTCAGGCTCCGTGGACTCTGTCAGACAGGTAGCCAGCTCCCAACAACTTCTTGGTTCAGGGAGTATTCCAATTTACCGAGGTTATTTTGACTAAACAGGTTCACCTAGAGGGCACACAGTGACTTTCCCAATCATCAATTATGGAGCAGCACAATAATTTACCAATCATCAATTATGGGGTTATTAACACGCCAGCACACTGGGACACTAATACAGAGGGCAAGACAACGGCTTAGCTGAGCTGTGTGGGGCTTTGTCCCAGAGATGGATAATAGGGAAGAGCTGAGAGGTGAGCAAAGCTGTGTGGGTCAAAGCCATCTAAGGGGCCTTGCAGGTCCTGAGCCTGGAGCTGCTATAGAACTTTCTCTGGACTTTAGAGCTGGGATACACCCATGTTCAAGAGACCTAGAGGACATTGCCCTGGAGGCTGATGGGGGGATAGGGAAGAGGCCCATTTCTGGTCTCAGAGATTCCCTGGTTCAGAGAGTAGAGGAGCCATGGTCAGAGTTTAGGCATATGCCCCCTCTACCCCAGAGCCCTTAGACCTCCCTCTTCCTGTCTCTCCTCCTTCTATCTGCCCCTCTGTCTGTTTTTGTCTCACCCCCCGCCCCGCCCCCCCCGCCCCCCCCCCCCCCCACACACACACACACAGCCAGTCAGTCAGCACATTCTTCATAGGGCCAAGTCCTCCTCCACCCCTCCACCAGGCCCTGATCTGCTGCTGGGAAATCAGCTGACTTTCTGATGCGAAACCACAGCCAGGTTCTGTGCTGGGAGGTTGTGGAAGGTGATTGGCCACTGAAGGCCTCAAAAGGAGCTGTGGCAAAGGGACTTGGTGGAAGTGGCTGCTCCTCTGAAACGCTACTCACATCTGTTCCTCCCCATCAAGCCACAGTCCTCTGAACCCTGAGCAGCCATGTGCAAATTTGAGGTGAGTGATAGCAAATGATGAGGGGATGGTAGTCCCTGGAATCCCATTTCCCACTGTGTTCCCTCTCCCAGCCCCCTTCCTGGCTAATCTCTCTACATGCACTTGTCTCGGTTCCATCCTCCCTGGGCCATGGGAGATCCCTGGAAGCAGGGTGTCATGAGAATGTGACCTGTTCGGTCATCAAAATGGCCCTGAGCCTGGTTGGTTGAATGCTATGCTGGAACCATACTGTAATTCTGAATAATAATACTTATTATTATTTTTGTTAATCCTCACCAGAGGATACTTTTTCCATTGATTTTTTTTTTTTTAGAGAGAGTGGAAGGGAGGGAGGGACAAGGAGAGAGAGACAAAGAGAAAGAGAGAGAAACATCAAAGTAAGAGAGACACATTGATTGGTTGCCTCCCTCACATGCCTCAGCTGGGGCAGGGGATTGAACCTGCAACCCAGGTACATGCCCTTGACTGGGAATCGAACATGCGGCCCTTTGGTGCAAGGGCTGATGTTCCACCCACTGAGCCACACTGGCCAGGGCAGAAATTTTGAATAATTATTGACAAAGGACCCAACAGTTTCATTTTGTGCTCAGCCTTTCACTTGATGTAGCAGGTTCTGGTTGTGGGGCCAAAACTCCCATCCAGAAGGAAGGAAGGAAGCTCTGTGCCTGTGAGGAGGGGTGTGTGTGCGTGGGGGATGGCACACTGAGAAACAATGAATCTTGTAGGAAAAGTGCTACTTTCACAATTAGACCTAAAGTGTTTGTGGGAGGAGCTGGAGAGTGGAGGGTCCATAGACCCTTTATACCCTACTACCCTGGAGGTGGGGGGTGGGCAGTGCTTTCCTGGGAACTGAAGACTTCTCAGGTGCCTGGGCCAGCAGCCCAGTACGACATTGGCCTCAGTGTTGATTCCTCCTTTTTGTGGTGCCTTCCAACCTGCCCCACACCCTACCACCACCACCTCCCCGCCCCCTAACCGCGAGGTTGAACTGATGCTATGCTCCAGGGTGCTTTGGGACTTGTGACAATGGGATCATGGAATGATCAGTGACGAATAAAATGATCCAGGGCTCAGTGATGACCAGATTGGGGCCATAAGGTGGAGACTTATGAGGAAATCTATGAGGCATCCCTGCCTCTCCAGTTAAGCCAAGGGTTTGGGAGTGAGAAAGGGCCTGGAGTGCTGTGGGCCTACAAGGTCAGCAGTCAGAGAGCAGCGGGATGCAGGCTCCGCTATGTCCGGCGCCACCTCAGAGAGGGCTGGTCACTGCCAATTCCTCCCTCAGCCAACTCTCACTTGTACCGTAGAGGGTTGGGTATCTGGAAACCAAGTTGCCCTGCACACTCCAGACCAATGTTCATACTTGTATGTTTGTGTGTCATGGTGAGTGTCAATGTGTGTGAGTGTGTGTGTCTGGGGGTTGGAAAGTCATATAAGACCATTGTCACTTACCTCCACAGATACCCAAAGAAGACATTGAGAAATTGAAAAAGACAATGGTAAGAAGCTCTTCCCCATGTATAGACAGGGGGTGAGTGGGGGCCTGGGTTTTACTGTGGGAGGCTGAGAATGTTCTGGCCCTCCTGAATTCCAGGAGAGAGAAGGATTAGGTCTCTTTGCTCAACTGTATCTCTTTTTACAGTGCCAGTCTGTAAACGTATTCTGTGATAAAATCCAATCCAATGGAGAAGAGGAGGTGGGTCAGTGTTCCTGTTCCTGTGCTCTGCACAATTTGGGTGGGGTGGTTGCATGATGATGATGATGATGATGATGACAATGGTGATAATGATGGTAATGAAGGTGCCACCTCAGGCTGGCTCATTTCTTACACCAGACAAAATTCATACCTTTGTGGAAGGTGAGTATACGGGTGGGAGATATTAAAGCCCAGGGGGCCTGAGGGAGGTGTTCAAGTCATAGGGCATACTGATGACAGAGCAGGTCCCCAAGCACATGGCTAGACCAGTTAAGAGGGGACAGCGAGCTGAGAACAGGGGATAAGACGAAAAGTGAGGGAGGCAGGGGGAATTTAAACAAAGCCTTTTTTTTCCCCCAATAGGTCAACTTAGGCCTAGAAGAGCTGCAGGTGAGTTTTGGCCTTGTCCCTCCCCCAAAGCTCAGACCCCAGGAGTTTAGCTGGGCCAGGTTATTGGGGTGAACTTTTGGCTGCCGTGGAGGTCATGTGGGGACTACAGACCACAGCAGGCAGGAGCAAGTCTGTAGCCTCCCCACCCTCCTCTCCCCAGGAAAACGTCAATGAGGCCTTAATTGAAGCCCTATTTGCTCAGTATAAGGACGACAACCAGGTGAGTCTGAGGCACCTCTGATAGCCCACTGTGCTTCCCCTTCCCCCTGCTCTCTCTCGATTTTGGTGCTGCCATGTGTGCACACAGTCCCTGAGCGGGGTGGGGAGGGGTAAAGGGATGGCTGAGAGCTCAGGAGGTGGCAGCCTCCCTGGCACCAGCCTCCTGGCCTCCTCTCCCAGCACATGGTGGTCAAAGCCCTGCCTGTAGTTTCATTCATAATGATGAACCACCTGGGCCTAGTGCTAAGCTTCTATCAGGACCGGCTGGACCCTGAACATGCCCCATCCCCACAGGAATCCAGTTCCTTATTTCTGGAACATCAGCGGGAAGTACGTCACAGAGTCTTTAGTGGAGTCCACCCTGAAGATGAGGGTCCAGGTTTTGCCGGACAGGAACAGGGCCTGGAACAGGACTTCCAGCAGAAAGGATTGCATGTCGTGAGTCCAGGTGATTTTGAGAGTACGTTTATTAAAGCTGGGGACGGTGAAACAAGGAGGGCTCGGGACAGAAGCACCAGGAGAGAGGCTCGGTGGGGCTGCTTTGGCTCACTGGGAATTCAGAGAAAGGGGGCCTTGGAGACAGGTTTGGGAGGTGAGCCTGGGACAAGCTGCAACTGCTCATTACTCCCCTGGTTGCAAGTTTGTGGGAACCCTTAGAGTTTAGGAGATGCACTACCTGAAAGGGAAGAAAGGCGTGGGCATGTTCCTGGGTCCTTTGTCTTGAGGGTTTGAGGGTTTTAAAGGCTGGGAGTTTAACCAGGCTGGTGTGGCTCAGTGGTTTGAACATCAGTCCTATGGACTGAGAGGTCCCGGTTCCATTTCCAGGCAGGACACATGCCCAGGTTTCAGGCTCCATCCCCATGGGGGGGTGCAAGAGGCAGCCGATTGATGAATGTTTCTTTTCTTTTTTTTAATTTTTTTATTTTTTTTATCCTCACCTGAGGACATTTTTCCATTTTTTGTTCAGATAGAGCGGGAGGGAGAGAGAGGAAGAGAGAGAGAGAGAAACATCGATGTGAAGGGACACATCGAATGGCTGCCACCCGCACGACCAACCAGGGCCGGGGACAAACTGCAACCGAGGTACGTGTCCTCAGCGGGAACCGAACCTGGGTCTCTCTGTACCGCAGGCCGACACTCCAACCGCTGAGCCAAACCGGCCAGGGCCGATTGATGAATGTTTCTATCTCTCTCTCTCTCTCTTCCTTTTTTCTAAAAAAAAAAATCAATAAAAAATATATTAAAGGCTGGGAGTTTAGTAGAGATCTTAGGGGAGGATAGCAATAGAATACTCATTAGCTTTATGCTGATGTGCCAAAATGAGATTTATTCCCTTAACTTCATCAGCCATTGGGTGTGGGGTGGTACAAATAGCATTAATTGCATTTCTGCTATCTATCTCCCTGAGTGGGGTGATTTATGCTGTTTACTCCTGCTTGGGGAGGAGAAGTGTAAACCATTTACTCTTTTTTTTAATCCTACTTGAGGATATGCTTATGGATTTTAGAGAGAGAAACGGAGGAGGGGAGAGAAACATCAATTGGTTGCCTCTTATATGATCTTTGACATGGGGTCAGACCTGCAACCTAGGTATATGCCCTGACCAGGAATCAAACCCACAACCTGTGTTGGTGTACGGAATGATGCTCCAACAAATTGTGCCAGCCACCCGGCCAGGGCTAAACCATTTTTTCTTAGGTGTCCTTGGTTAAAGAAGACAGGATTTTACAATGTACTAGATGGTTGTAAAGTGTTTGGTTGTTTAAATATCAATCTCAGTTTCCCTATTCCCCTTGTCCTGGCTTACTAACTGACCTGTCTCACAGAGCCCCAGAAGCCCGGGGAGAGCTTTTGTGAATGGGTACTGAGGTTGTTCCAAAAGATGCTACAGCAGCTGCAGAAGACGTGGCAGGCCGTGCTGGCCTGGGTGCAGGAGAAATGGGCTTCCTTGCTCAGTGCAATGAAGTCTATCTTCAGTGAGATTATGAGTTTCTGCTCCAACATGGCAGAGTACTTCTCCAGTTGCTTCCAGGTCTAAGGAGTCCCAAGAAAGTTCCTGGAAGAGCTCCGCCAAACCTACCAGCCCTTTGATCCCGCCCCACCCTCCCTTCTCTTCACCCTTGACCTGTCCTTGACAACCTCCCTCACTTCCTCCCTCTTCACAGCCTCGCCACCCTGCCTGCCCTAGTTTCCTTCTCCAGGCCTGATCTATGCTATGACATTTTAATAAAAGTTGGTTGAACCAAATTGAGTGCCTGTTGGAATGGGTGGCAGGGGGCTCAGTGGTTACAGGGAGAAGCTGTGTATCAGATGGATCTAGGCCAGGATCCCGCTCTGGTGAACAAAGAGAAGTCACCTGACCTCGCTAATCTGTAAATAGGGCACTGGTCCTGCTGGCCATGGAATTATGATGACACAAATCAGCCCGTGTACTGCTTATCACAGTGCCTGACTCATAGCAAGCGCTCAGTAGTTGCCCATTCCTGGGAGCAATGAGCTCAGGCCTGAGGGGCTTTGGCCCCCTTTGCTTTTCCTGCCTCCCTCTTGGGGCCTTCATCGCTGAAGCTGGGCTGGGTCTCTGAAACTCCTTCATCTTTCCCCCAAAATCAGAGGCCCAGGGATGACTGGGGCAGTTGGGGGTGGGGGTAGATTGCACCCCTACATGGGCCTGGAAGGTAAGCAGAGTAGGGAGGGGGATCTCTGGGCTGGTGGCCTCTCTGGGGACCAAAAATGCAGATTGGGGAGAGCCTGGAGCAAGGCCTGAGGGGCCAGCACTGCTCACCACCTGACCCTGACTTCCTCACCCCCCAACCCTGACTTCCTGCTTCAGGCAGATGTACAAAGACCAGCTTTGCATTCAGGAGTGATTGGCAGCAAACAGCAGCTGCTGAGATGAAGATGAAGGTGGGGCTTTGACCTGAAGGCATAGCTGGAAGGAAGGGGAGGAAGGCCTTCTCAGCGATGAAGCCCTGGTGTGGAGGAAACACACCAGCGGAGGTGTGTAGGGAGGGTGTTAGGAGCCAGGAGACTGAAGGAGGGGGACATTTTTGTGGGTCAGTATCCTGCACCCTCATCTGCCAGCTTCTTCAGACCCTTTGAATGATAGAAATGAAATCTTAATTCCAAGAAGGACTGCCCCCTAAGGGCCAGTTGTCAGTCCTGCAGGAGGAGGCCATGGCTGGACCCTGACCCTGCTAGTAGCTTCTTGGTGGCCCTGATAATCCTAAGGAACCCTGCCCAGGCGGGGAGAGGACTAATGGGAAGGGTCTTTTTTTTTTTATCCTCACCCGAGGACATTTTTCCATTTTTTGTTCAGATAGAGTGGGAGGGAGGGAGAGGAAGAGAGAGAGAGAGAGAGAGAGAAACATCGACGTGAAAGGGACACATCGAGTGGCTGCCACCCGCACAACCAACCAGGTCAGGGGACAAACTGCAACCGGGAAGGGTCTTCTTTACCCTTGGCCCTGGCCCGTTCCTTTCTGAGAGGAGGACAGCCCAATCTGAGAGTTCCTTTTAGCAGAGCCCCTCTCGTGCCCGCATCCTGTCCTCTTTCACTGCCGGGGGATCCCTATGACATGCCCTTACACCGAAAGACCCATCTTTGGCCTGAGTTCCCCGCTCCAAGGGGCTGCCCACCGCAGGTTCTGACCAGCCTTCTTCACTCACCATTGGCCATATCCTCACCTCACTTCCCAGGCACTATTCTTGTTCTTTCAAATGCTATCTCTGCATTTCCCAAGTGACCCTGTGTCAAACCTCCACTGACCTTTCCTCATGCCCTCCCAGTTAATTCTTCTAACAGAAAAAACTGTCCCCTGTGCTGAAGTCACCAGAAACTTTGCGACTCCACCAACCCCTTGAGGTCACCTCCCAGCTCATCTCCCAGTCTTGCCTCTTTTAAGCTATTTCAGTCCAGCAGCAAGGCCTAAATGACTTCATTGTTAAAAAGTAAATAACTTTCCCTGCCGATGTGGTTCAGTGGATTGAACATCTTCCCATGGACTGAGAGATCCCGGTTCCATTCCTGGTCAGAGCACATACCTGGGTGTGTGTGGGAAGCAACCAATCATCAATGTATCTCTCTCACATAGATGTTTTTCTCTCTCTGTCTCCCCTCCTCCCTCCCTTCCACTCTTTAAAAATCAATGAAGCCCTGGCCGGTTTGGCTCAGCAGTTCAGAGAGACCCGGGTTCAGTTCCGCTAAGGGCACGCACCTCGGTTGCAGTTTGTCCCCGGCCCTGGTTGGGTCATGCAGGTGGCAACCATTCGACGTGTCCCTTTTACATCGATGTTTCTGTTTCTCTCTCTCTCTCTCTCTCTCTCTCTCTCTCTCTCTCTCTCTCTCCCTTTTCCACTCTATCTGAACAAAAAATGGGAAAGTGTCTCGGGTGAGGATAAAAAAAGGGTGGGGGGCAAAAAAAGAAAAAAATAATAAGCTTTCAATGTTATGGATTCTTTCAGATCCTCTCAATCTCTTAGTTGACCAATCCTTCCTCCTTGAAACTTCCGCCCTGGGGTTTTCTATGAGTTGAATTTGCTGTGTGACATCTGGTAACTCTATACCCAATCTTCCAACCCCAAAAGTGCTGACCTTTCCTAGGCTCAGAGCTGTCCCACCCATCTACCTCAGTCCCTTGAACTCTGGTGATTAAGTTCTCTAACTCTCCACAAAACTTCTTTAAAGAGCAGCTATGTGTCAAGTCGGGTGGAGGGGCCACAGGAACTCAGACAAAGTATTTTTGTGGGTGAAAAGCCACAGGCTACAGCAGGATGTTTTGATGTGCTCTGGAGTGGGGCTGGCTGTTTACTTCTCCTGTATGTTTATTGGAAATCACATGATTTCAACTCTGTTCCTCTCATCAATCTCGTATTTTCATCTTTGTGACCAAAAAAAACAAAACAAAACACCTGTTGTAACGTGTCAGCTAGGTAACCAGAGATGCACAGCCGAACTGTAAAGGAGCATTTTATTACACCGGCAAGCTTGGGGGGGTACGGCTTCCCCATATTCCCAGCAGCCAGCCTTCTCTGTTCTCTGGCTTATATAGGCACCCAAAAATTACAAAAACTATATTTTAAAAAACCTACATTCTTCTTGGCTCTGCTTAATTGGTGCCGGGGCTGACACAGACTGCTCCAGAGGCAGGGGGAATTTGTTGCAGGAGTCAGGGCGATCATTAATCTCTTTCTTTTTTATGGTCCCTTCAGGTTTCCCAAGGCATCATTAACCCCTTATCTTTATGGTTCCTCTGGGTGTCAGTCCCAGGTTTTTTAGAAAACTGCTCAGGTGTTTACATGTAGGAATAACTGATCACACTGGAGTTTGATTTTTAAAATAGCCTGGTTCAAAACAACACCCCAAAATTATCAAATAATTCTTCAACAAATGTGTTTTTGAAAGGGTTAGTAATGTTTTATTTTATTTTATTATTTTCTTATCCTCACCCAAGGACATTTTTCGATATTTTGTTCAGATAGAGTGGGAGGGAAGGAGAGAGAGAGAGAGAAACATCAATGTGAAAGGGATACATTGAGTGGTTGCCACCCACACGACCCAACCAGGGCCGGGGACAAACTGCAACCGAGGTACATGCACTTAGCGGGAACCGAACCCGGGTTTCTCCAGACCGCAGGCCGGGCAGGGTTAGTAATGTTTTAAAAGGTAAAAGTTAAATTTTGCAAAAGGCAGAAACTGTGGAAATTGTGTTGCTTGCATGACCTTTACTCAGCCTTTTGTTGAGTTTGGATAAAGTTTATCTGAATTATCCGAAAGACAATGGATAGTCCAGAGATGCCAGAGGAGATACCAGACCAGCCCTACTGCAAGGTGGACAGTGGGCCAGATAAAGTACATCAGCAGGAACTGCCGGAAGCTAAAAGCAGGGTATATAACCGACACCTCAATCCTAATTTGAGGCTGAACCCTTCTCAGCTCAGCCCACCTACACCCAGGCACATGCAATAAAGCCATTTTGCTCTACAATGGCCTTATGTTGTGGATGTGATCTACCGCCAGCTCAGACCTTTGTTTCTCAGTTCTTTCTTTCTGTTATTAAAATTTCTTTCATAGGCCCTGCATGTCTGGTATGCCAAGGTTTCGGGTTCAATCCCTGATCAGGGCACATACAAGAAAAAAAAAAAAAAAAAAGAATGTTTCTCTCTCTCTCTCCATCTCTCTAAATCAATAAAAAATGTTATAAAATAAAATAAAAAGAAATTTTCTGTATCAAGAAGGCATATATGGTTCCACCATTTTCAGTACATTTTCTTTTTTTTTTTAATCCTCACCCGAGGACATATTTGCATTTATCTTTAGATAGAGTGGGAGTGAGAGAGGGAGGAAGCGAGAGAGACACATCCAGGGTGGGGGACAAACTGCAACCGAGGTATGTACCCTTAGCAGGGACTGAACCTGGGACTTAGGTCAGCAGGCCGATGCTCTACCTGCTGAGCCAAACTGGCCAGGGCATGTTGTTGTTGTTGTTGTTTGCTTTTGTTGCTGGTGAAATGGAGGATTAGCACAATTTAAAAACATAAAGGGGCCATCAAGAGTGCTAATGATGCTAAGGGTGTGAAAGAAACAATGATTACAGGCAATGAAGAGGTAGAAAAGCTGTTGTTGATTTGGGTGAACAGAGCAGATAGCCAGTGGCGGCATTTCAGAGATAATGATGTGAAAAAGCAAAGATGCTGCATACCGACCTCCTGAAAAACACCCCTGGAATGAATGCTGAAAGTTTAAGGCCAGTAGGGGGCAGTTTGATAAATTTAAGAAAAGAAGTGTTTGTTTATAGATTAAACAGTGCATTAGACATGTACTGTATATAAGAAGGGTTAAAAACGGAATCATTTGGGGATCTGGAATGAATTAATTCAATTTACATTATTTTAATGGGAAAAAAATGATTCGGTTTTGGAACAAATAGCTTCTTGAACAGCATTCCAGAATAGATTAATTTCGAGAAAGGAGGTTCCACTATCCATCATTGTGTAATCTGTATTACAAATAGAAGCCTAACTCATAGTGTGCCAGTAACATTTCTGTGGGTATTAACTTTGCGCAAGGGCCATGCTAATCTTCTCTGTATTGTTCCAATTTTAGTATGTGCTGCCAAAGTAAGTACTGTGGGTATTAACTTTGAATTGATAATGCCAACCATATGATTTAATTGAGAATTTACCTTTGACTGTATAGCAATTTGAAATGATTTGATCCTACCAGTACTTATATTTCTTTTAAAAAAATGTAAGACATTTCCAAATAAAACATTTCAAAATTATAGTAATTGAATGCGGCTGTTATATAATTATAAAACTCTATCCCTGGCCCTGGCCAGTTTGGCTCAGTGGTTAGAGTGTCAGCCTGCGGTCCAGAGAGACCTGGGTTTGGTTCCCACTAAGAGCACGTATCTCCGTTACAGTTTGTCCCCGGCCCTGCATGGATCATGCAGGAGGCAGCCACTCGTTGTGTCCCTTTCACATCCATGTTTCTCTCTCTCTCTTCCTCTCTCTCCCTCCCACTCTATCCGAATTAAAAAAATAAAAATAAATAAATAAATAAAACTCTATTCCTGGAAGGCATGCAATGTCATATCAAAACTGAGAAGGGCAAATTGGTTCTAATTTGAGCAACAAAGGAATTGATGGGTAGTGGCCACCTGGCTGTGTAGACAAGGGTCACCAAGCCCAATCTGGTCTCAGCAAGGAAATCCCTTCATCTGTTCCTTGCCATGGATGCTAGAGAGGAAGACCAGAGGAAGAGTACTGCATTTGATGGCCCTAATGTAATCTAGAGCTTTCACTTTGAAGATAAGAAATGTGATGCCTACAAAAGCCATGTTCTTTACCATGTTCATTATTAGTCTCAAGTCAGCATTTAAGGCAAGTATAAAACTATTTCAATATTATGATTTTTTTTTTTAATCCTCACCCAAGAACATTTTTGCATTCATCTTCAGATAGAGCAGGAGGGAGAGAGGGAGGAAGAGAAACATCGACGTGAGAGAGACACATCGAGTGGTCACCACCCACACGACCCCAGCCAGGGCCAGGGACAAACTGCAACTGAAGTACGTGCCCTTAGCGGGAACCGAACCCAGGACTCTCTGGTCTGTGGGCCGACACTCAGACTGCTTAGCCAAACCGGCCAGGGCTATGGATATTTTTAATTTGAAGTTATTTCTTGCTTTTTCAATCCCTGTTATCAATCAAACGGACTTTATTCTGTTTTCTTCTCTGGCATTATCATCAAGTTAGTGAATTTAATTCCTCTTTTCATCCTCAATTCTTTTTGCATCATGCCTTTAATTTTTTCCCCTTAACCAGCGATTTTCAATCTTTTTCATCTGATGGCACACATAAAGTAATCACTAAAATTCTGTGACACACCAAAACATATATTTTTTTGCTGATCTGACAAAAAATAGGTATGATTTTGATTCATTCACATCAGATGGCATTGTGTTGGGTGTTGTAATTTTATTTTACAGTCTAAGGGAAAGGGGTCAGTGGCCCTGACTAAATAGTCAGGTATTGCATGAGGTTTTAACATTCTTGCAGCAGCTGTCCTGGCCAGTTTGGCTCAGCGGTTGCGCGTTGGCCTGCGGACTAGAGAGTCCTGGGTTTGGTTCCCAGGAGCACGTACCACAAAAAAAATAAATAAATAAAATAAAATTCTTGCAGCACACCAGTGTGCCTCTTGTGGCACACCGGTTGAAAATCATTGCCTTAGACACTTCTGGTCACAAGTAGACATTTATTCAATTGTCTTTCTTTTTTTTATTGTTTGTTAATCCTCACCTGAGAATATCTTTTTCCATTGATTTATTTAGAAGAGAGTGGAAGGAAGGAAGGGAGGGAGAAACAGAAACGTGATGTGAGAGAGACACATTGGTTGGTTGCCTTCCACATGTGCTCCTACCTGAGCCAGGGATCAAACCTGCAACCCAGGTACTTGCCCTTGACCAGGAATCAAACCATAGACACTTTGGTGAGAGGGCTGACACTCTAACCATCAAGCCATATTGACTGGGGCTTCAATTGTGTCTCTCTTTTTTAAATAATTATTTTTCTTTATTAATTTTAGAGAGAAAGGGAGAGAAACATCAATCAGAGAGAACATCTATTTGCTGTCTCCTACATGCCCCCCACTGTGGATTTGGCCCACAACCTGGGCATGTGCCTTGACTGGGAATCAAACCGGTGACCTCATGGTGCATGGGTTGATGCTCAACCACTGAGCCACACCTGCCAGGCAATTGTGTCTCTTTTGATCAAATATTTTCCCTTCTGCTTTTAGTTTTATTCCTGAATAAGAGAAGACTACCTGTATTGTAACACTAAAGTATAGATATTAGGCTCTAGTAGCTGGTTAATATATGATGAATTTTAACTCTCATTAAGTACAAGTTTAATTTTTACACAAAAAAAGCAAACAAAAAACTGTCCAGCCCAGCCTGTAGCTCAGTTTGGGACTGCCAAGATTTTGGGTTGATCCCTGGTCAGGGCAATAAACCAATGAATGCATAAATAAGTGGAACAACAAATCGATGTTTCTCTCTCCCTCTCTCTCTCAAGGAAAAAACAAAAACAAAAAACCCTGGCTAGTGTAGTGCAATTGTTTGGAGTATCATCCCATACATACACCAAAAGGGGTGGGTTTAATTCTTGGTCAGGGTACATATTTGGGTTGCAGGTTTGATGCCTGGTCAGAGTGAATTCAGGAGGCAACAAATCAATGTTTCTCTATTTCATCTATGTTTCTTCCTCTCTTTAAAAAAAAAAAAAATCAATTAGAAAAAGTATCTATGGGAGGGATCATATCTCAACCTAATAAAGGCTATATGTGAACAACGTACAACCAACATCATGTTCAATGGGCAAAATCTAAAAGTATTTTCCTCAAGAACGTGAACAAGACAGGATGGCCCACTTTTGCCACTCTTATTCGACATAGTACTGAAAGTCTCAGCCATAGTGATTAGACAAGAAGAAAAAATAAAAGGCATTCAAATTGGAAAGGAGGAAGTGAAACTGTCATTTGCAGATGACATGATATTGTATATAGAAAACCCTAAAGACTCCATCAAAAATCTACTAGATTTAATAAATGAATTCAGCAAAGTAGCAGAATACAAAATTAACATCTAGAAATCAATAGCATTCTTATACACCAATAATAAATACTCTGAAAGGAAAACTGAAAAAAATCCCATTTACCATTGATTGCAACAACAAAAATAAGATACCCAGGAATAAACTTAACCAAGGAGGTAAAAGACCTGTTCTCAGAAAACTACAGGACATTGAAAAAAAGAAATAGAGGAAGATATAAAAAAGTGGATGCATACACCATGTTCATGGATTGGAAGAATCAACATCATTAAAATGTCCATACTACCCAAAGCAATCTACAGATTCAATGCAATCCCTATTAAAGTACCAATGGCATATTTTACATATCTAGAACAATTACTCCAAAAGTTTATATGGAACCACAAAAGATCTTAAATAGCCACAGCAGTCTTTTTTTTTTTTTTTTGGTATGTGCCTCCAATGGGAACCGAACCTGGGACTCTCTGGTCCGCAAGCCGATGCTCCAACCACAGAGCCAAACCAGCCAGGGCTAACCACAACAATCTTAAAAAAGAAGAACAAAGTTGGAGGAATCACAATACCAGATATCAAGTTATACTACAAAGCTATCGTAATCAAAACAGCCTGGTACTGGCACAAGGGCAGGCATATAGATAAATGGAACAGAACAGAGAACCCAGAAATCAACCCAAGACATTTTACAAAATTAATATTGACAAAGGAGGCAAGAGCATACAATAGAGAAAAGACAGTCTCTTCATAAATGGTGGGATAATTGGACAGGTACATGCAAAAAAATTAAACTAGACCAACAACTTATACCATACACAAAAATAAACTCAGCCCTGGCCGATTTGGCTCAGTGGTTGGAGCATCGGCCTGTGGACCAGAGAGTCCCGGGTTCAGTTCCCGCTAAGGGCACATACCAAAACAAACAAACAAACAAACAAACACAAACAAACAAACAAACAAACAAAAAGAATAAACTCAAAATGGATAAAAGACTTAAATGTAAGTTGTGAAACCATAAAAATCCTAGAAGAAAATGTAGGCAGCAAAATCTCAGATGTCACATGTGGCAGAATTTTTACCCATACATTGCCTAGGGCAAGAGAAACAAAGGAAAAAATTAATAAATGGACTACATCAAACTAAAAAGCTTCTGCACAGCAAAAGAAACCAGCATCAAAATGAAAAGGGAACCCACTCTTTGGGAAAACATATTTGCCATTGATATATTGCATTAGGGGTTAATTTCAAAATGTATAAAGTACTCATACAGCTCAACAAAAGGAAGACAAACAATTAAAAAATGGGCAGAGGACCGGAATAGACACTTCTCCAAACAGGACAGACAAATGACCAGGAGACATGAAAAAATGCTCAACATCTCTTATCATCAGAGAGATGCAAATTAAAACAACAATGAGGTATCACCTCACACCTGTCAGAATGGCCACCATCAACAAATCATCAAACAACAAATGTTGGCGAGGGTATAGAAAAAAGGGTACTCTAGTACGCTGCTGGTGGGGATACAGACTGGTGTAGCCCCTATGCATGGTATAGTCTTTCCATGGTATTGGTATTGCCATATCATTCCATGGTATTTCCATATCATTCCATAAATGATATGGTATTTCCTAAAAGAATTAAAAATGGCCTGGCCAGTGTGGCTCAGTGATTGAGGGTTGACCCATGCACCAAAAGGTTGCTGGTTCAATTCCTGGTCAGGGCACATGCCCAGGTTGTGGGTCCGTTCCCCATTGGGGGCATGCAGGAGGTGGCCAATTGATGTTCTCACTCATCGATATTTCTATCTCTCTCCCTCTCCCTCTCTCTCTAAAAAAATCAATAAAGAAAATAAATTTTTTAATGGAATTGCCATTTGACCCAGTGATTCCACTTCTAGGAATATATCTACCCTATGAAGCCTGAAAAAACATATGCACCCCTAAGTTCACAGCAGTGCTATTTACAATTGCTAAGATCTGGAAACAACCGAAGGGTCCATCAGTAGATGAGTGGATAAAAAAGTTGTGCTATAGTTACACAGTGGAATACTATGCATCTGTAAGAAAGAAGGATCTCTTACCCTTTGAGATGACATGGAGCGACCTGGAGAGTATTATGCTGAGTGAAATAAGCCAGAGAAAGACAAATACCACATGCTTTCACTTATTTATGGAATATCATGAACAAAATAAACTGTTGATCAAAATAGATCCAGAGGCATGAAAGTAGGGAACAAACTGACACACCTCAGGAAGGGGAGGTGGGGGGTTAGGAAGAGATAAACCAAAGAACTAATATGCATAACCAGTGGACAAAGACAACAGTTTGGGAAAAGCAGAAGGGGGAGGGGGAGGAAGGGGTCAGTGGGTGAAAAATGGGAGGACATCTGTAATACTTTCAACAATAAAGATAAAAAAAAAAAGAGAAGAAAAAAAGTGTCTGTGGGAGGGGGAGGCAGGCCAAGAATGCCTGCTGGGCAGGAAAAAGGTGGGGCACAATGACAATCCAGCTTTGGGTTTAGAGGATTATGCGTGGTTAGGGGTTCCCAACTGACAACCTGACTTGGCTGAAAGCAGGTTTCTTTTCACCTGCTAGCATTTTCCATTTTAATTAGTTACCAACATTTCAAAATAGTTTTCCATAATTATCCAGAATCTGGGATTTTATTTTATTTTTTGATCCTCACCCAAGGATTACTTTTCCATTCATCTTCAGATAGAGTGGGAGGCAGAGAGAGAGAGATCGATTGATTGCATCCCATATGACCCCAACCAGAGCCAGGGACCAAACTGCAACCGAGGTATGTGCTCTCGACTGGAATCAAACCCGTGCCTCTTTGGTCTGAGAGCAGATGCTCCAACCGCTGAGCCAAACCAGCCAGGGCCAGAATCTGGGATTTAAAATTTTATTCAATTATAATTAATTTAAACAGCCACATATGGCTACCTACTGTATTGGACAGCACAGATTAGGGTCGACTCCACATGGCTGGCTGTGACAGATGGTCACCGCCTCTCACACACCCCACTCTAGGCCTTCCTGGGGTGGAAGAGGGAGAAAGCCACCACAGTGTGACAGAGTAGGGAAAGTAACAGATGGTATTAGGGTGAACATAAAAAACTTAAAAAGGGACCACTTTCAAGACTGTTTTAGGGCGGCCCTCTGTGGTGGCTAGAGCAGTGGCACTGGGGGCAATGCAGTGCTTCATGGCAGTGCTGTGGGGTTAGAGCCCCAGCCTGGTGGCCCTGTCAGCAGATGCACACTGGTTGACAGCAGAAGAGAGGAACCAAGTTATATTTGACCTTAAAGCAGCAGGATGGTCAGAATTAAATAGATGTGCCCTGGCCGGTTTGGCTCAGCGGTTAGAGCGTCGACCTGCGGTCCAGAGAGACCCCGGTTCGTTCCCGCTAAGTGCACGTACTTCAGTTGCAGTTTGTCCCCGGCCCTGGTTGGGTTGTAAGGGTGGCAGCCACTTGATGTGTCCCTTTCATGTTGATGTTTCTCTCTCTCCCACTCTATCTGAACAATAACAACAACAAAAAAACAGAATTAAATAGATGCAATCTACAAAGAGTTCTTGTTCAAAAAAATTTTTTTTTTTATAAATTGCTAACCATATTCTCTGTCTTTATTTATTTATCCTCACCCCAGGACATTTTTCCATTTTTTTGTTCAGATAGAGTGGGAGGAAGAGAGAGAGAGAAACATCGATGTGAAAGGGACACATCGAGTGGCCACCATCCGCATGACCCAACCAGGGCTGGGGACAAACTGCAACCAAGGTACATGACCTTAGCGGGAACTGAATCCGGGTCTCTCTGGACCGCAGGCCGAGGGACGCTCTAACCGCTGAGCAAAACCGGCCAGGGCTCATTCAAAATTTTTAATCAGGCACTTGGCTTTATGTCTTGAGTTGCCCTATATGAAGAAAAGATAAATCACCGGGGATAGTTCAATGTGCACAAAAAAGTCCAGATAACTCTCACCTTGCACGACTATGGTGAACTGACCAACAGAGATGTAAAACTGGCCAAGTTTATTGGGAAAAAAAAAAAGCAGCTGCTCCTGTGTGATTTGTTCCAAAATGCATTTAAAATCTTACAAACATCTTATTTTGAAGACAACTTATATGAAAATTTTAAGTTGTAAATTTAGTTCACCTTTATGCCACATTTTGTAAAATCAGTGCTTAAGTACAAAATTATTATTATTATTATTATTTTAATCCTTATTTTTCCATTTTTTGTTCAGATAGAGTGGGAGGAAGAGAGAGAGAAACATCGACGTGAAATGAGTGGCTGCCACCCGCACGACCAACCAGGGCCGGGGACAAACTGCAACCGAGGTACGTGCCCTTAGCGGGAACCGAATCCGGGTCTCTGTGGACCGTAGGCCGACGCTCTAACCTCTGAGCCAAACTGGCCAGGGCCAAAATTATTTTTTTAAAAGGCATTTTGAAATACGTTACTAATGCAGGATAACCTGGAGCCAGAGGGAGAAGGGGTGGGCCCGGACAAAGAGGGTGGGGCAGGGACTTCCCCTGCAGGCCTTGGCTTCGGAGGCGGCCAGGGAGAGGCCTGCAGGGCAGGCTTGGAGAAACCTGAGCGAAGCTAGCTAGCTAGTACAGGGTCTCCCGAGAATGGGTTCTCAGGTGGCGCAGCAGGTGGGAGTTGCGGCTGAAGCTGCGGCCACACTGTGTGCAGGAATAAGGCCTGGCCCCGGTGTGCACCAGCATGTGACGCAGCAGGTTGCAGCTGCGGCTGAAGATTTTGCCGCACTCCAGGCACTCTTGGGGGGGCTCGACCTGCCCAGATGCCACCACGTCCCCTGACCCTGCATGGGTGGCCAGGTGCCGCTGTAGGTGGGCATTGCGCCGGAAGCTCCGGCCGCATGTCTGGCAGCTATAGGGCCGCTCACCAGTGTGGCTGCGGCGGTGGCGGGCCAGGTTGGAGCTGTTGCGGAAGCGGTGGCCGCAGGTGTCACAGGCGTGGGGCTTCTCTCCAGTGTGGATGCGCTGGTGGCGTGCCAGGTGGGCGCTCTGGCTGAAGCCCTCGCCGCACTCGCTGCAGCGGCAGGGCTTCTCGCCAGTGTGGCTGCGCCGGTGGCGGGCGAGGTCCCGCGTCTGGCTGAAGCTCTTGCCACACTGGGTGCAACGGTAGGGCCTCGGGCCACCATGGGTCAGGAGGTGGCGGGCAAGGCTAGCCCTCCGCACAAAGCGCTTCCCACACTGCGGGCAGCCATAGGGCTTCTCGCCTGTGTGCACTCGCTGGTGGCAGACCAGCTGGGAGCTCTGGCTGAAGCTGCGGCCACAGACCTGGCAGGAGAAGGGCCGCTCACCTGTGTGCACTCGCAGGTGGGCCCCCAGGTGCTCACTGCGCCGGAAAGCCTTGCCGCAGTCGCTGCACACGTAGGGCCTGCGCTCAGGGCCTGGTCGCAGGCTGTCTGAGCTCTCGGAGCCCTGATGGCTCTTATCTTTGCCGTGAATCCGCAGATGACGCTTGAGGCTGGAGCGGCGCTGGAAGGTTTGGCCGCAATATGAGCACAGGACGATGGTCAGCTCTGGCGTTTCGGTCTTGGTCCCCGGGGCACTGGGGGTCTTTTGGTCCCGGGCGTGAGCCAGCAGGTGCTGCAGGAGGCTGGTCCGGCTCTGGAAACCCTGGCCACATTCGGCGCACAAGAAGGCGGGCTCGGAGTGTGTCTGCAGATGCTTATTCAGGTGTGAGCTCTGGCGGAAGCGGTGACTGCAGAGATGGCAGGCATGTGGCCGTTCATCAGTGTGTGTGCGCATGTGCAGCTTGAGGATGGAGTTGCGGCCAAAGGTCTTCCCGCAGCACAGGCACGGGAAGGACCGCTTGCCAGGGTGAGATCGCAGCTGGTGCCCTTCCAGGCGGGCCAATTTCGTGAAACTCACCCCACATTCTGTGCAGATGAACTTCATCACTGGCTTCAACCTGGGGGCCCCTCCGGCCACTTTGTCCTCTAGAACGTCACTCTTGCTGTCTGGGGACTCTCCTCCACGAGAGCTGCTCATCCCAGGGCCCTGCCCAAGTGATTGCTCATGGGTCTCTTCTGCCACCGCTGGACTATCTTCCTGAAACTCTGCCGAAATGGTTGCAGGCCAGTCAACCCCTTTGGGCTCTTCCTTAAACTCCTCATCTGGGATTCTGCTTCCAGATCCTGAAAAAGGAGCAAAAAACAGGATTGGTCAGGCCTGTTCGAAGGGGCTGCTAAGAATCACCAGAACCTCATTGCCTGGAAGCACAAAGAAACCCAGGATCCTGCAAAGCTGGTGGGTAGGCAGAGGGTGTGGGGTAAAAAACAACTAACATGCAATTTACCACTGTAAGTGTTTTATAGTGTGCAATTCTGGTCATTCCCCCCAAATGGAAACCCCATACACATCAGCAAGCACTCCCATGACCACCTATTTTTTTTTTTTTTAATCATCCTCACCCGAGGACATTTTTCCATTTTTCGTTCAGGAAGAGTGGGAGGGAGAGAGAGGAACAGAGAGAGAGAGAAACATCAATGTGAAAGGGACACACTGAGTGGTCACCACCCGCACAACCAACCAGGGCCGGGGACAAACTGCAACCGAGGTACGTGCCATTAGCAGGAACTGAACCCGGGTCTCTCCCGACTGCAGGCCAATGCTCTAACCGCTGAGCCAAACCGGCCAGGGCCTATGACCACCTATTTTAAAAGCTTAGCCCTGGCCAGTTTGCTCAGTGTTTGAGCGTCGGCCTGCGGACCAGAGAGTCCCGGTTTAGTTCCCACTGAGGGCACGTACCACAAAAAAAATAAATAAAAATAAAATAAAAGCTCAGAGTTGGCCTGGCTGGTGTGGCTCAGTAGTTGAGCGTGGACCCATGCACCAAGAGGTCGCCAGTTGGACTTCCGGTCAAGGCACACACCCACATTGTGGGCCAAATCCCCAGTAAGGGGCATGCAGGAGGCGGCCAATCGATGCCATGTTTCTATCTCTCTCTCCCTCTCCCTTTCTCTCTCTCTCTAAAAATAAATTTAAAAATATTTTTTAAAGCTCAGAGTTAAAGGGGATGATTAGACCAGACAAATGAGCCTTTGAATATATAAAGGGTGAAGCAAAAGTAGGTTTACAGTTGTTTGTATGGAAAATAATACAATAACCAATAAATGATAATACTAGAATAAAATTTGTGTTTTGCGTACTCACAACTATAAACCTACTTTTCCTCCACTATATATATATGATCTCCTGTGTGTGTGTGTGTGTGTGTGTGTGTGTGTGTGTGTAAAATCTCATCAAACTAGCCCATTTTTAGTCAAAGAGGTCAAAGTATCAGGTAGGGTCTGGAGCTTCAGGATCACACCCCAACAAAAAGAGGCTTCAGTGGTTGTGAGGTCTGGGAGGGGATCTTACCCAGAGGGTACACAGGCCATGCCTTCTTCACTGGGACATCTTCAAAGGTCAAGGACTCCTGTAACAAAAGGAGGGGCAGAAACCCTCAATGAGTGAGGAAACTGAGGTGAATAGAGAGTTTTCTAGGCTTAAATTCAGGAAGCCATGGATTTGCTAAACTGCAGAGGCAATGAACATTTGGGGCAGAAGAACATCCTGGAGTGAGAGGACCAGTCCAACTCACCAGAACAGCTGCCAGCTCCTGATCATGGGAGTTCTCCTCAGGCCACAGCTCAGGGCCCTGGGCGGCTGACGGCATTGGAGGAGAAAGAAAGAGCTGTGAGAAGCCAGCCGTATCCACCATGAGGCATAAGAACATGCACCTGTCACCAAGTCACTATGAGAGACATCTTGGGTCTCATCCACTCCTGTCAACTTGGGAGGCTGCTCACGTCTTTCCCCACCTGGCCGCCCAGCTCCCACCTTCCTTGGGCACCAGCTTACCACTATCTTGAAGGGCCTGGAATGTCCTCTTGGGACTTGGGCTCAGTGGCTGCTTTGAACTTGGGGGATGTCCCCAGGCCCCCTGCTCAGCAGGGTTGGAGGGCCCTGGCTGGGATGACAGGTGTTCCTTTGATGGCTCCTGGGTTGGAGACTTTTCTAGGGGCACTTCCTTTTTAGGGCTATGGATAGAGACCTGGGAAGGGTGCCCCTGTTCCTCCAAGGCGATGTCTGCACGAGGACAGTTCTTGCCAGCATTAAAACTAAAATCCTGTTCAAAACATATCCATGTTAAGCAACAGACAGGGTGGTAATCCATGTCCTACTGATTCCCAAGGGACAAGAGACCAAAGAAAGGTGAGAATCAGACAGGGAAGGATTTAGGTTAAGAAGGAATTTGGCCCGGCCAGTGTAGCTCACTAGCTGAGCATCAACCCATGCACCAAGAGGTCACCGGTTCGATTCCTGGTCAGGGCACATGCCCAGGTTGTAGGCCAAATCCCCAGTGGGGGGCACACAGGAGGCAGCCAATCAATGTTCTCTCTCATCGATGTTTCTCTCTCTCTTTCCCTTCCTCTCTCTCTCAAATTAATAAAGAAAAAATATTTTTTTAAAAAGAAGGAATTGGCAGCCCTGGCTGATTTGGCTCAGCGGTTAGAGCACCGACCTGCAGTCCGGAGAGACCTGGGTTCGGTTCCCGCTAAGGGCGCGTACCTCGGTTGCAGTTTGTCCCCGGCCCTGTTGGTTGTGTGGGTGGCAGCCACTCGATGTGTCCCTTTCATGTCGATGTTTCTCTCTCTCTCTCTCTCTCTCTCTCTTCCTCCCACTCTATCTGAACAAAAAATGGAAAAAATGTCCTCAGGTGAGGATTAAATAAATAAATAGAAGGGATTGGCAGAGGGAGGAATGTGGAGTGTTCAGTGATTTCTTAATTGGGCCATAAAATCCCTGTCTTTCCCACCAGCTGTCCAGCCCACCTGGCTGCCACCCACTTACCAGTGGCCCTACGTCGATAGACTCCCTCTGGACACCCTCCAGCAGCAGCACCACCTCCTCACCATCCCTGAGCTGCTGGCCCTGTAGCCGGGCCAGGAGGTGTGGGGGCAGCACGCTTAAGAATTGCTCCAGCACCAGCAGCTCCAGGATCTGCTTCTTGCTGTGCAGTGTCGGCTGCAGCCAGTGGCTGCAGAGCTCCCGGAGCCGGCTCAGCGATGCCCTGGGCCCCATGTCCTCCTGATACTGGAAGCATCTGAAGAGCTGATGAGCCACTTCCGGCCGAAGCCTGATCTCTGGCCGCCTGGGGTCCGCCTGGTTGGTAGACACCTCCTCCTCCTCCAGTTTTACTGCACCGAGCTGCTCAGGTTCCCGCTCAGCAGGGACAGTTTCTACAAGCATCCTTCACCTTGGGCGACACCTCACTACAGCTACTTGCACTCTTGGTTTTCTTTCCCTCTCTGCTCCCACACCTGTGGTGTTAAGAGATGCAAAATTAATCAATCAATTAATTAATTAAATGGAGATGCCTAAAGATGTGGCCTCCAGAGGAATCCTTTCTCTCACTGGTCATGGGTAATGGCTCAGTCAGACTAATGTATCAAAAGGCAGAGAAAACAGATAGTTCTGTATTACTGTCCTCTCCTGCAGTAGTTAGAACTTTGCCTTACTTTACCCCAGCGATCAAAGTTGGCATCCCCTAAGAGAGGACAATCTGGCTGTCCCTGCCTCTTGATGTCATGCCAAGGGGAGTACATGGCACCACGAAAGATGGGTCCTTACCAAATATGTTCCATCGAAATCCAGTCTGGCCTTCAGACCCAACTTCCAGTATAAAGGTCATTGTAGGAAATAAGAACAAGTCAAATGATTTCTCAAGGAAACAATCGAACAAATTCTGAAGACAGGATATTCCAGGAAACAGCTGCCCCAGGTTCTTCCGTCTATGTTATAAAAAATAAGTGCCTGGGTTTGTCCCTGGCCCTGGTCAGGGTCGTGCAGGAGGCAACCAGTCAATGTGTCCTTCTCACGTCAATGTTTCTCTCTTCCTTTCTCTCTCCCTCCCTCCCTCTCTCCCACTCTATCTGAAGATAAGTAGAAAAGTATCCTTGGGTGAGGATTAAAAGATAAAAATAAAAATAAGTGCCTGTAGGGGGCACAATGCTCTAGAGAGGACTAACACTCCTTACAACCAAATGCATAAAATTTGATCGGATCCTGGTTTTTTAAGAGACTCTCAAACATATTTTGGAGTCAGTTAAGGAAATTTGAACATGGATGGGACAGTGGATGGCAATGGAAATGAATTTCTGAGATGCAATTTCAGTTTTGTGGTATGTAGGAAATGTAGTCTTAGATGTTAAAGGGGTTGGAAGTAAAGGGGTATGAAGGTTCAGTCAAATTTATGGACCAACATGGCCAATGTGGCAAAATGATAGCAATTGTAGAATCCGGGAGATGGGTGTATGGATGTTTATTGCACTGCTCTTTCAACTTCTCTGGGAGTTTAAAATTTTTAAAGATAAAAGCTTGGGGTGGGGGGAAGCTCACACATATGATCTCTCTTTGACTAGACATCCTGACCCTCACTTTATGGCTCTGGAGGTGGCTCTCAGCAGTCAAGTCCAAGGCCACCCAGCTGACCAGTGCAGGGCTGACCTCTCACCCACTGTGCCAGTCTACTTCCAGGCTACTCACCTCCTCACCCATCCCCAAGACCAAAGTCAGGATAAGCCAAGGAGCTGGGATGGGTGAATGGGTCCCCAGGTGAGGGACCAGCTTACAGCTTGCAGAAGTTTGTGACAGATGTGTCTCAAAGCAGGCCAAAGCTGCCTTGCCTATTTCAGAGGCCTCTAGTGGGTGTGCCCTTGGGAGCTGGGTTATGGGCAGGAAAGGCAGTCATTTCCTTTTAATTTTTAAAAATTTTTGGATTCTTTCTTGCTCTACCCCTCTGGGAAGAATTTGTCCCTGTGAAACTGGTCTGCAATACAAAGTGTTTCTAACAGGCCACCAGGAGGCACTAGGTCCATGCGACTGACAATCACCTCACCTCTCCTCCCAAAGCGCCAAAGTGTTCTGTGAGGCTACTCCTTCCTTTTTGGGGGGTAGCCCAGCCACCAAAGGGAGAGCTGACCCGTTATCCCCACTCACAGGGGACTCAGTTCAGTCCTTCAGCACAACCTAGAAGGTTTACCCTTTTGTTACAGAGATTTGGGGCACTTGTATATTTTAATTTGGGCAGAAGTTATTTTATGGATATGGAAACCCAAGTCCAAACCTCTTTCTGCCCTCACTGGTCTCCAGCCTCAGGGCTACAAATGAACTTCTCCCAAATCTGCCTCTCCACTCCCACACCATGGACATCCCAGGCAGGAAGAGGAGAAGAACGCCTTCAGCATTACTTTCACCACCTAATAGGAGTAAATGGTGGGTGTGCATAAGGGCTAGCTACAGTCGTCCGCCACTTCGCGGCTTCACTCTATCGCATTTTTTTTCAAATATATTCATTAAAAGTTGATTGAGACATTGAAAATGATACAGCGTGTGCTTGGTTATCTGAGTCAATTATACACCCCTGTATTACAATTACAATTAAAATTATTGTACGGCCCTGGCCTGTTTGGCTCAGCTGTAGAGCATCGGCCTGCGGTCCAGAGAGTCCCAGGTTCGGTTCCTGCTAAGGGCACGTACCTCGGTTCCAGTCTGTCCCCAGCCCTGGTTGGGTCGTGCGGGTGGCAGCCACTCGATGTGTCCCTTTCACATCGATGTTTCTCTCTATCTCTCCCTCCCCACTCTATCTGAACAAAAAATGGGAAAATGTCCTTGGGTGAGGATAAAATAAAATAAAAAATTAAAATGGCTAAGAGACATATGAAGAAATGCTCATCATCACTAATCATCAGAGAGATGCAAATTAAAACAACAATGAGGTATCACCTCACACCTGTCAGAATGGCCGCCATCAACAAATCATCAAACAATAAGTGTTGGCGAGGGTGTGGAGAAACGGGGACTCTAGTGCACTGCTGGTGGGAATGCAGACTAGTGCAGCCACTATGGAAAACAATATGGTGTTACCTCAAAAAATTAAAAATTGAACTTCCATTTGACCCAGTGATCCCACTTCTAGGGATATACCCTAAGAAGCCTGAAACACCAATCAGAAAGAATATATGTACCCCCATGTTTGTAGCAGCACTATTTACAATAGCTAAGATCTGGAAACAGCTCAAGTGTCCATCAGTAAACGAATGGATAAAAAAAGTTGTGGTACATATACACAATGGAGTACTACGCAGCTGTAAAAAAGAAAGATCTCTTATCCTTTGAGACTACATGGAGGGACCTGGAAAGTATCATCCTAAATGAAACAAGCCAAACAGAAAGACAAGTATCATATGATCTCACTTATTTGTGGAATATAATGAACATAACAGTCTGAGGAATGGGGTAGTCCCAGAGACGTGGAAGTGGGGTACAGACTGACAATCCCCAGAAGAGGGGGTGGTGGGGAGAGATAAACCACAGAACTTATATGCATGTATGCATAAACAGTGGACATGGACAACAAACTGGGGACAGGGCAGGGAGGGAGGTGGAGGGAGGAATCAGTGGAGGAAAAAGGAGAATCATCTGTAACAAAAATTAATTAATAAAAAATAAATAATGAAAATAAATAAATAATTTAAAAAATAAAATAAAATTACTGTATGTATGGACCGTAGGCCTATGTATTCGAGCGCCCCAGGAATCCTTCAAGGCCAGGTGCGACCGCTAGTCTGGAAAGAATTATCCATGATAAACAAGGGACAACTGTATTGTCATTCTCTTATTACTGAGTAACAATACAAATGAGCACATCTAACAGTTGGTCCCATTTTACAGCTGAGAAAATCAATGCCAAGAGGTACAGGCATTTGCCTAAGAAGGTAACCCAACCTTGGTTATGGAGCCAGGGAGAAGTAGGTTAGGTCCAGAGCTTTGAATAGTATGTAAAACCCTCTTGATATGGGACTCAGGGACCAAGGGGCTGAGGGTTCTCTAAACCTCCTTTTCTGGTGGGGTGAGTGGGGTGTGAAATGGTAGAACAGAGAAAACCCGGGGTTTTAAAAAGCCTGGTCTTACACTTCCTGCCTTAGAAGGGGAGAGGGGAGAGACCTACATCCTGACCACCTGACCAGGCCAGCCCCTATCTCTCCAGCCTCCCTCCCCTTCCCCTCTTTTCTAACTCTCTCTAGTCTTTCTCCCTCCCTCCATAATCTCCCCTTCTTCCCCCCTCCTTCCTCCAGCAATTCCCCAGAATTTAGCATCTCAGTCTCCCCTCAGCCTCCCCAACCTCCATTCTTTCCTGCACTATGTTGTCATCTGACCCTACTCCACAACACATCAGCCACTGTCTCTTCCCCCTCCAGTGTCACTCTGTGCCACGATCTCGATTGACTGTGTTTCTCCCCTTGGCTTGCGTGTAGAAACTGGTTCTTGATTGATTGATATTAGAGAAGGGAGGGAGAGAGAGAGAGAGAGAGAGAGAGAGAGAGAGAGAGAGAGATCAATTGGTTGCTTCCTGTATGCGCCCTGGGGCTCGAACCCAAAACCTAGCTATATGTCCTGACCAGGAATTGAACCCACAACCCTTCAGTGCATGGGATGATGCTCCAACTAACTGAGCCACACAGGCTAGGACAGGATCTGGGTCTTGTACAACTATTCACCCAGCACTTGCAGTGACTTCAGTGTTTGTTAGAAATAACAAAATGAGAATATAATCGCTACCTCACAGTTGTAATTTTTGAGGAATGCATGCAAAACGGTGCAGAAAAGTTCTTTGATAAAGATTTGGGGTGGGGGTGGGGTTTTGTTTCACTGTATTTTGGTAGCAAGAGCAAAATAATCAGAGAACCAATCATGTGTAATCAGGAACCCCGTATTAACAGCCGGCAGGCTGAGTGCCTAGCTATATGGGTTGCTGAATCCCACTCCAACCCACAGGGTAAATTCTTTCTCCATTTGACAAATGCAAACACCATGTTCAGACAGGATGGCTAACTTGTTCGAGATCACCCCAGGTGGAGACAAGATTTGCTCTGAGAATGCTGACCTTGACCACCGTACAAAAGCTCAGAAACAGAGGACAGTTTCCCTCCCGCCCTCATCTTAGGAAGAATATCATAACATGAATCAGAAAAAATAAAGGTATTCCAAATTCCAGCCATCAGGCCTAGATACCAGGGGTGCCGGAACCTCCAGGTGAGGTCTCATCAAAAGGTT